GTCTGTGTATTTTTAATTGTTTTATCAATGTTTATTCACTTCTTAATCGCAGTCTCTTCAGCCCAGCCAGTGTGTTTATGAGCTGTATTAAGGAGTGACTCTGGTACCTGATTACATTACATTGCTACCGCCCACTGAAGGCTGGAAAGTCCCGCCTATCTCCCGCTTATTTCATTCGCTGAAAGGCCCCTCCCTTCTTGGCAGAAAGATATGCATACGCGCGCGGCACTGAAGAAGAAGCACAACGCTGGAGATCTATCCGCATCCACATAAACTAGTCCCGGCATCGTTCTATGACAAACACAGAAGGCTGTATATTGAATTTAATAGAATCAAACAGACAGAGGAAGAGAGAGACTGCCTGTTCCATAATGTAGCCATTGGCTGTATTATACAGACAAAACATTAGGGAACTAGCAGTCTCTCTCCTCTCTCTGTTTTATTTTATTGAATTACATGTAGCCTAATATTTAAACAATTAGCCACATTAAATATGTAGTAATATGTAGGCTGTTATAAGGTATTATATAAGCCTCCCATACTCAACTGGCGGACTACTGTCCAGAACGGCGTCAATACGGACAGCGGGTCCCACCTACAAAAAAAAAAAACGCGCTTCGACCACTGGTATCATATAAACACAAGACATGGAAAACAATTTTAGAATTGCAGGAAATTAACTTTAAAAGAGTAAAACAATTCTCTGCCCCATGCAACATGTGTAGAATTGTGGGAAATTAGCTTTAAAACTGCAAAATGTTCCCTCCGCATTCAGGAGGGGTGTGAACAGTTTGGTGTCACATGCATTGTGAGGTGGCCGTTTATTACTACTTTGATAAATGACCATATCTATCCGGACCTTTGCCACCTAGGAAATTTGTGTGACCGGACCTTCTGAAATAGTACTTGAGTACCGCTGATATAAGCCAATGGTCATGTATAAGGCATTTTTTCAGTGATTTTCTTCTTTGTCTAATATATGTGTTAATTCATTCACAAGTAGAATGGCTAACACTTTATTTTAAGGATCCGTAATACACCATTTATAAGGCATTTATAAATTGTGTGTTCACCATTTATGAATCATTACTCCCATATTAACAAACCATTTACTAATCATTAGTAAAGTATTTTTGCAGTCCCTAATCTAATGTGAGTGTTCTTTATACTTTATAAATGCATTATAAATGCTTTATTATGGACCCTTAAAATAAAGTGTTACCCTAGGATGTTGCTGGGCCCAGTACAGGCAGTGTGGTCCCCTGGTCTTCTGGTCCCAGTGATGCTAGGCTTAGCAGCGCAGACATCTCAGCTGCTGCTGTAGTGGACATAGGGAGAAAACAGAGGGAGATAGAGAGAGACACTGACTCATGTACTGCCAGTTTATTGATATTTTGGCTCTATATTATATATGTAATAGTAATTAACCCTTAGGATACGGGGGGGCATGTATGACAGCCAGGCACTTATAGTTGCAGTAGTTAGGCATTCATACGGTATTATGAGCCAAAGGTAATCTATATGGCATGTAGCCTAGTGGTTAAGAACAGTGAGCCAGTAACCGAGCCAGCAAGGTGAAAAAAATCTGCTGTTCTGCCATAGAGCAAAGCAATTAACCCCCAACAACTGCTCCACGGGCACCTCTCTGATTCAGAGGGGGCTGGTGTGGCTAAAATGCCAGGGCTTAATTTTTGTCCCAGTCCGCCCCTGGTGAGAGAGAGCCTCAAATATCACATTAATTTGTACATATCCACTGTATACATGAATTGAGGCAAAGTTGGTTCCTGTTTCAGTCACGTCTTTGCTCACGTTTGCATGGGTCAAACAAAAACACCCTAATCATTGGATGACAATAGAGCCTTCCACAATGCAAGCCATGGCTGCCAGATGAAGTCGGGGAAGAGCAACTGCAGAAACTTGCAGTCGACTGCAGTCAAAACGTCATGACCTTTGATCACATGATTTTTTATCAAGTTCATGCAGTAGACATGTAGGCATAAATCGGACAATTTTTATCCCCATAATGCAACACACTTTGAAAGGCTGAGATTGACAAAAGTGATCTGCTCGAACACGCCCAAAGACATAGAGAGAAACTGTGATCTATCTTCTGTAAAAAATTACATGACATTCACAATGAACTACAGCAATAGCACAAGCAACAATCTGCGGTGAATTTCAATTAACATTTAAATAAACATTCAAAAATAACCAACATTCTTTAAGCTACTATGTGACTATCGATTATCAGAATATAATTTACATCTTTAAAAGGAGATAAAAGTTTCCATAAAAGTTTATCTTGTGTTATGCAAAGCATTCATAACGGTTGGGAGTGTTGGCTACTTCAATCCATTTGAGAACATTACCTCCTAGTGGTCACAACTGCAACTGCAACTGCTGTTGTCTACTCTAGTCAAGTCTCTTCTCCGTGCGGGCGAGCAAGAGAGACAATATTGTTTCAAGTATCTGATTGTAACACTGTGACTGAAACTTTCATTAAAATTGTAACAAAGTAACAAGCTCGACGATAAATATTTGGGCTACATCGAATCTTTCCCGCAAATCCTCGTCTGCGATTCTTTCCGGTTCTGTGGCCAATCAGGATGAACAATTACAGAAACTGAACCAATCACAGTGTCGTTTTTGTGCGGATCAGAGTTCAGAGTTCACCACTACTTCCTCTAACCAACAACGGCGTGCAATCGTCATTGAAGCTCATACAGAATCAAGATGGTAAATATTCTAGACTATATTATGAGGTGTTTTATGAGGATTGGTAATATGTAGTGAACGTCCAGGCTATCATACATTACATTTGAGTAGCTATCTATCTATCATAAAATCGCATTATGCGCCTTTGTTGTGGTTATCTAACTAGCTAGCTACGGTAGCTAGTTAGGGTGGTAAGATAGCTTACTTGTTAGCCGCTAGATATCTACTTTGTTGTGCTTTGCACTGTATGTGAAAGGCTAGTTTGATTAACTAGGAAGCTAGGTAGCTAACGTTAGCTGTGAGATGCAGCTGTAATGTGTTTGGTCCTGGATGTTTATTGTCTGAAAGCCGTGGTATAACCAGTTAATTATACTTAGTATTATGATTAATATAATTAAGCAATAAGGCCTGAGGGGGTGTGATATATGGCCAATATACCACGGCTAAGGGCTGTTCTTACGCAACGTGGAGTGCCTGGATACAGCCCTTAGCCGTGGTATATTGGCCATATACCACAAACCCCCGAGATAATTTATTGCTATTATAAACTGATTACCAACGTAATTAGAAGAGTGCAAATAAATGATTTGTCATACCCGTGGTATACAGTCTGATATACCACGGCTTTCAGCCAATCAGCATTCAGGGCTAGAACCACCCAGTTTATAATAGCAATAAGGCACCTCGGGTTTGTGGAAATAGCCAATATACCACAGCTAAAGCCTCGCAGTGTTGCCAACTTAGCGAATTTGTCGCTATATTTAGAGAGTTTTCAGACCCCTCTAGTGACACATTTTCAAAAAAGCGACTAGCGACAAATCTAGCAACTTTTTCTGGTGTTATTGGAGACTTTTGGAGACTCTGACGTGAAAGCACGTATCGTTCTTACTCTTCTCAACGAGCAGCGGGTGCTTCTAGCGACTTTTAGGACAGCCAATAGCTACTTTCCTTACTGAGGAGTTGGCAACACTGAAGCCTCGTTCACATTACCCATAAGTAATTTCAATGGGGATGTCCACAATGGAGTGGAATTTTTCTTCAGTCTAGCCAGAGTCTAGCCAGAGTCCATCAAAGTACAGGAAGGTACCAAACCACAGAAGATGAAAATGTGTGGTTTTCGGTGATGGCTTTATGAGATAGCTAGCAAGTTCTAAACAATTTACTCATTCCTATAAGTGAGTATTTTAATAGTAATGTTAAATAATACACATTGGCTGTTAAGACAATTATATTGTGACTGTTGCCTCCCGTTGAAGTTTATTGTGATGATAATGACATTTGTTTTTTATAATTATTAGGTGGAGGGGACTAGCTACAATGGTATCTTCAACCTAGCTTAGCTTTTACCTCGCTAGCTAGCTGCTCTGCAGTGCAAGCTAGCGTGACTTGCTATAAAGTTAAAGAAACAAGTTGAGGAAAAAGTAACTAAACAAAACATGTTTTATTATCACCTGAAACAATATATTTGTCCTGTCTGGAATGGAAAAAGTCATATTTTGCAATCTCCCAAAATAAATGCGATCTCTGACGAGAGACAGGCTCTCCATCTTACATTACAAACACTACACTTGTCCAGTGTTGCCAACTCCTCAGTAAGGAAAGTAGCTATTGGCTGATGTAAAAGTCGCTAAATGACGTCATCACCTAATTTGCATAATTGGCCATGTGAATGTAATTGTGATGGAAGCTGTAGGAGAGAGGAATAACGTCGTTGGAGAGACAAAGTGAGTAAAAAAACACCCTACATTTACATCCCGCCCTGAATGTAAGCCAGGGCGGGATCAGCCAGCAGCGGCTTCCTGCATGCGCGATTCATTTGCAGTCTGGACGCGGAGGGGTGAACATCTCCTGCTCTGACTGCAGCTGGGAGGGACTGGGCCGCCTGTGAGTGCTTTGGGACGGGGGTGGGGCCCACGGCAGCACCCGCTGCTCGTCAGAGAAGAGTATGAACGATACGTGCTTTCACGTCAGTCTCCAATAACACCAGAAAAAGTTGCTAAGTTGGCAACACTGCAGTTGTCCATTCAGTAGCGGGGCAAGACTCCGTGAAAATGACGTACGGCGTAATGAAATACGTCACAATGTAAACGGACATAAGGGCTGTATCCAGGCACTCCACATTGCGTCCTGCATAAGAACCGCCCTTAGCCGTGGTATACCTCAGGCCTCATTGCTTTAAATGTACACTCATGTTAGGCTTATAACGGCACGTGTGAATTATATCATTTCAGAGTTTACCACTGAATCCCAAACCGTTCCTGAACGGTCTGACTGGCAAGCCCGTGATGGTGAAGCTGAAGTGGGGTATGGAATACAAAGGATACCTGGTGTCTGTGGACAGCTACATGAACATGCAGGTAGGTGTGTGTGGACCAGACAGATACATACAGTAAAATATGTGAAAACATCAATGATATGCATAATTCACTACAGCATGCTCTGGAGTCCCTCGTGTGTACACAGTTGCATCTAGAGAGCGCTTGCCCATCCGAAACTCTAGCTAGGCTGTATGGCTCTGGTTGCATCACTGTGGGCTATTCATTTAGTGTGATTTAAAACCGATGTACAGCATTCATATCAATCTATAACATCTAACAATCTATTGTCTCTGATTTTATAGTTGGCCAACACTGAAGAGTATGTGGATGGAGCATTGGCTGGCCACCTAGGAGAAGTGCTCGTCAGGTAAGTTCAGTGGAATACTATTTTGTTTACTTGCACTTTGCAGAACTCATGATTACACACATTAGCCTGGTCTCCGATCTGTTTGTGCTATCTTGCCAACTCCTATGGTCATGGATTGGAGTGGTGAAGACAGCACAAACAGATATGGGAATAGGCTACACGCATTCAGGGCTTTCAGAAAGTATTCACACCCCTTGACTTTTTCCACATTTTGTTGTGTTACAGCCTGAATTAAACATTTATTAAATTGAGATTGTGTCATTGGCTTACACACAATACCCCATAATGTCAAATTGGAATTATGTTTGTAGACATTTTTACAAATTAATTAAAAATTAAAAGCTGAAATGTCTTGAGTCAATAAGTATTCAACTTATTTGTTATGGCAAGCCTAAATGAGTTCAGGAGTAAACATTTGCTTAACAAGTCACATAATAATAGTGTTTAACATGGTTTTTGGATGAGTACCTCATCTCTGTACCCCACACATACAATTATCTGTAAGGTCCCTCAGTCGATTAGTGAATTTCAACCACAGAGGTTTTCCAATGCCTTGCAAAAAAGGGCACCTATTGGTAGATGGGTAAAAATCAAATAAAAAGCAGACATTGAATGTATTTTTGAGCATAGTGAAGTTATTAATTACACTTTGGGTGGTGTATCCATACACCCAGTCGCTACAAAGATAAAGGTGTCCTTCCTTACTCAGTTGCCGGAGAGGAAGGAAACCGCTCAGGGATTTCACCATGAGGCCAATGGTGACTAAAACTGTTACAGAGTTTAAAGGCTGTGATGGGAGAAAACTGAGGATGGATCAACAACATTGAAGTTACTCCACAATACTAACCAAAATGACAGAGTGAAAAGAAGGAAGCCTGTACATAATAAAACTATTCCAAAACATGTGTCCTGTTTGCAATAAGGAACTGAAGTAAAAATGTGACAAATAAATGTACTTAATGTCCTGAATACAAAGCCTTATGTTTGGGGCAAATCCAACACAACACATTACTGAGTACCACTCTTCATATTTTTAAGCATGGTGTTGGCTGCGTCATGTTATGGGTATGCTTGTCATTGACAAGGACTAGGGAGTTTTTTAGGCTAAAATATACGGAATAGAGCCTAGCACAGGAAGAATCCTAGAGGAAAACCTGGTTCAGTCTGCTTTCCAACAGAAACTGGGAGACCAATTCACCTTTCAGCAGGACAATAACCTAAAACACAAGGCCAAATATACACTGGAGTTGCTTACCAAGACGACATTGAATGTTCCTGGGTGGCCTAGTTACAGTTTTGACGTAAATCGTCTTGAAAATCTATGGCAGGGTTCTTCAATTCCGGTCCTGGAGGGCCGAAACACCTCTGTTTTTCATCCTCTCCTTCTAACCAGGGGCTAATTCAGACCTGGGACACCAGGTGAGTGCAATTAACTATCAGGTAGAAATAAAAAACAGAAGTGTTTCGGCCCTCCAGGACCGGAATTGAAGAACCCTGATCTATGGCAAGGCTTAAAATGGCTGTCTAGCAATGATCAACAACCAACTTGACTGAGCTTGAAGAATTTTAAAAAATATCCTGGTGGTGTGCGAAGCTCTTAGAGACTTACCCAGAAAGACTCACAGCTGTAATCGCTGCCAAAGGTGATTCTAACATGCATTGACTCCGGGGTGTGAATACTTATGTAAACGAGATATTTAATTTAAAATAAATTAGCAAGAAATTCTCAAAACATGTTTTCACTTCGTCATTATGGTGTATTATGTGTAGAATTCAGGCAGTAACACAACATGTGGAATAAGTCAAGGGGTATGAATACTTTCTGATAGCACTGTATCTCCCTTTAATTGCAGAATTAGCACAATGTTTAATCATTTCCTTTCTGACATACCAGTCCACACCGAGGTAACCGTACACTATCTTTCGCTCCACACAGATGCAACAATGTCTTGTTCATTAGAGGGGTAGAAGAAGAGGAAGAGGATGGTGAAATGAAAGAGGCTTGAAAGAGGCAAGCTTCTTTTTTTCGTTTTGGTGTCTGGTTGCTAATCTTGTTTGCCGATTTGTCCTCATTTTTTATGAAAAATTGATTGTTTTGAATACATCTGAGAAGCAGTTCTTTTTTATATGATGATGAACCAAGCTGTTGTGCCCCTCTGAGCACAAGGATAATAAAATTGTGCATATTGCACTTTTCAGTAATATCTTGTATGGCATTATTTTGTGGTACATTTACATTTTACATTTACGTCATTTAGCAGACGCTCTTATCCAGAGCCGCTTACAAATTGGTGCATTCACCTTATGGTAACAACTCTCTCAGCAATTTACATACTTTCTATACATAAATAATCGTATTTAGACATCAATAACAGAATATACTAAGGCAATAATATTTTATTTATTTTATAATCAAAGTATACAGTACATTTAATTATCAATCTAACTGTTATAAAGCATTAGATAATATTGTATAGGCCAAATCAGTGAGTGAATGGAAATGCTCCTTGGTGACTTGGGCTAACTGAAATATTGGCCTAATGTATATAAAAGCTCATTTAAAATCAGTCACTGTGTTATATTGTCTGTGAATACTGATGGTTTAAAATCAGTCACTGTGTTATATTGTCTGTGAATACTGATGGTTTAAAATCAGTCACTGTGTTATGTTGTCTGTGAATACTGATGGTTTAAAATAATCAGGAAAAGAAGTAGAAGACGTCCTCTTGCTCGCTAGTGGTCAACGCGTGTGTCATGTCCCTTCTTCTTGATATCTGATGGCTCCGATCGCGGCATCAGCCTTCTGCCCATCTACAAGCCAGAGAAGAGGATAGATGTAGGCTGGCTCGTTATGCTGTGTATTAAACTCTGTTACAGGTCTGTAATATTAGGTGTCATTGCAAAGGCATTTGGTCCTGGCGAAGCATGTTTCATCAATACACAGTGCAGCAAAGGTAGATACTGTATTCTAGGTTGATTCTCTATGCACACCAGTCTATAAATGCCTTTCCATTGATAAACAGAACGTATTTACTCAAACTTTGTTATAGCAATCGACATGTGTCCTGTTTGATACATTGACTACACTAACCCTCTTCTTGCTGTCGGAGGTGGCCCTCTCCAGAGCCTTCCGGAGTCTCTCCTCCTGGTGGTGTTTCTTCATCAACAGCTTCTCCTCACGCATCCTGAAAGGAGATTAGAGGAAGGGAGCATTATGGTCCCATACCAACGGATCTATTGATCAAGACGGCACAACAGCATCTCTAGCCTTCTTCCTGAGATTGCTGAGGCAGTTTGGGATGATGAATACTCTGGTCAACTTCTACCGCTGGCCGCACAATTGAGAGCATTCATCCTGAATGTGTGGTATGGTGTTGGCAACTATTAATTAATCAATCACATTTATTTTATAAATACCTTTTTACCCCAGCAGTTGTCACAACGGTTGCGTTTACTCAGGCAGACCAATTCTGATGTTTTACCCAATAATTGGCAAAAGAGCTGATCTGATTGGTCAAAATAACAATTAGTATGTGTGTGTGTGGGGGGGGGGGGGGGGGATATAAGAATTGGGCTGCCTGTGTAAACACAGCCAAGAGTGCTTTCCGGTTACTTGTCGGTGTATGACTGCAAAGAGCTGTAAGGGAGGACACATACTTGAGCCTCTTCTCTTTCTCCCTCTGTGTGCGGACGGTGTCAATTTTGTCCGGAGGCAGCGTCTCCAGGCAGTCCATAATGTCCTCCATCCTGCTCTCGATGTTGGCCAGCATATGAAGAGTGCTGATATTGGAGTCCACCTCTCCCTACACACACCCTGTGCACTTCCTTCACCTTCTTCTGCAGCACATTGAGCATCACATCCTGTGAGAAAGAAGAGGTGAAATTGACTACAAAATGATTGAATCTCAATTGTATTTCCTTTCACTCCTTGCATCCTCTTTCCTAGTCTCCCTCTCAAACATGCAGTGGATGAAAAGGTCTGGGGAGACTGATTAACCTTTGGATTCCTCTCTGATGCATTTTGAGAAGGAGACCAATTAATCAATCAGCCAATCAAAGCCAAAGGCGTCCATGTAACTTGCTTTTGCAATTTCGTCACTGAGAGCGATGCCGATCATCAAATTGCGCTCATCCATTGGGCCTGCAGCAACGACGTGGACAATAGTACTAACCTGTTTGTCAGCTCTGTACTCTCCGTAGGAGAAGATCCTGGACTTGAGCTCCAGCTCAGAGGACTTCTCCTCCTCCCTCTGGATGGTGTTCTTCAGGATGTCTACCTGCTGCAGCAGGATCCGGATTTCACTGTTCCTGTACATTACACACGGAAATAAACACACACCTGCTGTTAGCAGGCACATTTGCTAGGGATGACACCTGGGTCATGTTCATTAGGCATGAAATTAACTGAATAAAAGGTGGAATTGCCCAAGAGGACCTGGACTCATCGATAAGAAACACTCATTTTCGTTGTTCCGTTTACAAAACATTTTAAAACATTTTCCGTTGCATGCTCTGAGGAACACAGCCCTGTTGAATTCCAAAGGGGATTTGATTCAAATGGGGAGTATAACAGCATACAGTGGGGAAAAAAGTATTTAGTCAGCCACCAATTGTGCAAGTTCTCCCACTTAAAAAGATGAAAGAGGCCTGTAATTTTCATCATAGGTACACGTCAACTATGACAGACAAAATGAGAAAAAATAATCCAGAAAATCACATTGTAGGATTTTTAATGAATTTATTTGCAAATTATGGTGGAAAATAAGTATTTGGTCAATAACAAAAGTTTCTCAATACTTTGTTATATACCCTTTGTTGGCAATGACACAGGTCAAACGTTTTCTGTATTCTTCACAAGGTTTTCACACACTGTTGCTGGTATTTTGGCCCATTCCTCCATGCAGATCTCCTCTAGAGCAGTGATGTTTTGGGGCTGTCGCTGGGCAACACAGACTTTCAACTCCCTCCAAAGATTTTCTATGGGGTTGAGATCTGGAGACTGGCTAGGCCACTCCAGGACCTTGAAATGCTTCTTACGAAGCCACTCCTTCGTTGCCCGGGCGGTGTGTTTGGGATCATTGTCATGCTGAAAGACCCAGCCACGTTTCATCTTCAATGCCCTTGCTGATGGAAGGAGGTTTTCACTCAAAATCTCACGATACATGGCCCCATTCATTCTTTCCTTTACACGGATCAGTCGTCCTGGTCTCTTTGCAGAAAAACAGCCCCAAAGCATGATGTTTCCACCCCCATGCTTCACAGTAGGTATGGTGTTCTTTGGATGCAACTCAGCATTATTTGTCCTCCAAACACGACAAGTTGAGTTTTTACCAAAAAGTTCTATTTTGGTTTCATCTGACCATATGACATTCTCCCAATCCTCTTCTGGATCATCCAAATGCACTCTAGCAAACTTCAGACGGGCCTGGACATGTACTGGCTTAAGCAGGGGGACACGTCTTGCACTGCAGGATTTGAGTCCCTGGCGGCGTAGTGTGTTACTGATGGTAGGCTTTGTTACTTTGGTCCCAGCTCTCTGCAGGTCATCCACTAGGTCCCCCCGTGTGGTTCTGGGATTTTTGCTCACCGTTCTTGTGATCATTTTGACCCCACGGGGTGAGATCTTGCGTGGAGCCCCAGATCGAGGGAGATTATCAGTGGTCTTGTATGTCTTCCATTTCCTAATAATTGCTCCCACAGTTGATTTCTTCAAACCAAGCTGCTTACCTATTGCAGATTCAGTCTTCCCAGCCTGGTGCAGGTCTACAATTTTGTTTCTGGTGTCCTTTGACAGCTCTTTGGTCTTGGCCATAGTGGAGTTTGGAGTGTGACTGTTTGAGGTTGTGGACAGGTGTCTTTTATACTGATAACAAGTTCAAACAGGTGCCATTAATACAGGTAACGAGTGGAGGACAGAGGACCCTCTTAAAGAAGTTGTTACAGGTCTGTGAGAGCCAGAAATCTTGCTTGTTTGTAGGTGACCAAATACTTATTTTCCACCATAATTAGCAAATAAATTCATTAAAAATCCTACAATGTGATTTTCTGGAAAAAATTTCCTCAATTTGTCTGTCATAGTTGACGTGTACCTATGATGAAAATTACAGGCTTCTCTCGTCTTTTTAAGTGGGAGAACTTGCACAATTGGTGGCTGACTAAATACTTTTTTTCCCCACTGTAGATTACGTTCCCTTCCTTACATTCTTTCCTGCGTCTGCTGGATGGTTTTGCGGATCTCATCCATGGCCTCCTCGGTCTCCTGGTAGTTCTGGATGTAGGACAGGTTCTGCTCCTCCAGGTCAGTCAACAAATTCAGCATGTCCCTGGGGTTGGAGTAAAACAACTCTGGCTCCTTGGAGGAGAGGAGCCACAGCAGAAACAACTAAGAAGAAGAGCTAATAACACACGTCTGGTCCCAGTCGGATCGGTTTGTGCTGTCTTGGGGGTCAACCCAAGTAAACCCAGTTTCCTTGTCTTAATTTATGAATAGGGTGTACCCACTTATTAGGGTAGTTAGATACTTTTTTTTTTTTTTTTTGCATTAGGGAGTTTATAAAATGTGCCTCCGGTTTACCCCAATTTTTTTACCACTACCCTGGTTCGTTACATACAGTATGTCTACAAACACACCAATACTCAAGATTGTTAATTAATAAAAACAGGAACGTTTAATCCATACCTCGTCGCTGTCTGAGGTCTCTGCTGTCTCTGGCACCTCGGAGATGGTGGACCCCTGTCTCTCCTGATGGTGAAGGATGCTGCTCACTTTCCCGCTGACAGAGTACAATCAAATACACACACTAGCACTTAACTATTTGCAATTTTACTAATCAATTACATTGATTGATATTAAAATATAATCCACACACGAAAATATATATATATGATCCCCATCCTCTTACCCTTTGCTTTGATGTCTCATCTGTGATTTTTTTGTGACTCTTGAATTTTTTCTGGCATAGGCTGGACCTTTTTGGTTTTCTTCTTGGAATCAGTAAAGTAATACAAAATGTCACACTTCTGTCAATAGATTTAGCCTACTATTGCATATTGCACACATTTTATCATTATGTGACATTTTATCATTCTGAAATAAGTCCAAGGAAAGTATTTAAACTCCCATACCTTTAAACTCCCTTTCCCTCTGCTTGGTTGCTCTCCTCTCCTCCCTCTTGCGCTTCTGTTCCTCGCGCCACTCCATAGGTCCGACGGCGGTGAGAAACGTTTTGTATGTCCGGTACTCCTTTAGGATTTCTTGATACTTTGAGATATCGCTAAAGGGGGATATGTTTGCATTATATGGGATGACATTTACTACCACTGGAAAAAACACGTCGACTCCACCGCACTCTCCAATGGAAATTAATGTGTTCAGCGCGACGGCGGCCCGTTCTCTAAACGTAGCCTAGCTAACGTGCATGCTAGCTCATCCATTCTGAAAAACAACAACGTGGTTAGATCGTTTTCACTTCTACATTAGTTACAGTAGTGAAATATGTTAAAACCTAACAGCGTTACTGGAGGAGAAAAAACAACAGCTGAAAATATTTAACATTTCACAACTGTCGGTTTCCTCTGGCAATAACTTTAAATACCCTGTTTCTTCTCAGTCTTATAGCGTCCCTTCGATAGCTCAGTTGGTAGAGCGGAGGACTGTAGTTGGAATTCAAGCTGAAATCCTTAGGTCGCTGGTTCAAATCCGGCTCGAAGGAGACACATTTTGATTTTTCCTTTCTAGTATTTTAAATAGTATGGTAGCCTAACGTTACACATGGCCTGTGTATGTAATAAGGTACCTTTTCATCGCCATCATTTGAACTGTTACTTTTTTTATTTCTGCTGTTTTCTCCATTTTCACCATAGTCTCTTTCTCTGCCCTGGAAAGAAAGACAACATAATATACATGTGATGTTTTTATTTATTGTAACATTGTGCATTTACCACGATCTACCTGTGGTGGACCTATCATGAATAAATTAACTAATTACTGTAACCTACTGGTTATTTGTCAAATCAGGTGGCTAGAGATATTCTAAAAGCTAATACAAAATCATGTGTAGGCTAATATGTATTGGTTATAATAATGATACGCCTACTAACAACTTGACAGCTGCCACTGAGCTCTGGTCGTTTTCCTTAATGAACTTTTCAAAGGCGACCGAGTCCTCCTCCAGATGTTTCTCAGCATGGCTGATCAACTGAAGCGCTATCGCTGTGTCCTTCTCCAGCTTCTTGATGGTTTCTTGCTTCACTGTCAGAGAGTACTAGAGAGACATGGATAGAGAGAGAGGCTGGAATTCCTTAAAACCCACTGTAGAGATTGTCTTTCTATTTATTTATTATTTTATGTCATTTAGCAGACGCTCTTATCCAGAGCGACTTACAGGAGCAATTAGGGTTAAGTGCCTTGCTCAAGGGCACATTGACAGATTTTTCACCTAGTCGGCTCGGGGATTAGAACCAGCGACCTTTCGGTTACTGGCACAACGCTCTTAACCACTAAGCTACCTGCCGCCCCTATTTCTACATCAGGAAATTTTAAAAATTCATATTGAATTGAAATTGGCGTTTGGCTTTGATTGAATTCAGCCCAGAGTCTCATTGACACAGGTCTGACATCACACTTAGCCCCACCTTATGTAACATTTTAGGCCATAATTGTTTTACCTGCAGCATAAACTTTTCTCGCTGTTTAGACAAGTAGTCCCTAATGTTCTCCCTGTCTTGACTGCTACCTGCAGAACGACACGAGATAATCTAGTCAACACTCTCTGTTAAAACATTGATGTATGCTCCTTTATTGTGACTGCTGTCAAAGTCCAATAATTTAAATAAAATACTGATAGATACTCCTATAATAAAATATATAGTAGGCTATACTTTTATTATACGTCTACCTATTATAAAATGATCTTAGTTATAGGACACAGACAGCATGCAAATAAGAATACAACAATGCAAATACACTGCTCAAAAAAATAAAGGGAACACTTAAACAACACAATGTAACTCCAAGTCAATCACACTTCTGTGAAATCAAACTGTCCACTTAGGAAGCAACACTGATTGACAATACATTTCACATGCTGTTGTGCAAATGGAATAGACAACAGGTGGAAATTATAGGCAATTAGCAAGACACCCCCAATAAAGGACTGGTTTTGCAGGTGGTGACCACAGACCACTTCTCAGTTCCTATGCTTCCTGGCTGATGTTTTGGTCACTTTTGAATGCTGGCGGTGCTTTCACTCTAGTGGTAGCATGAGACGGAGTCTACAACCCACACAAGTGGCTCAGGTAGTGCAGCTCATCCAGGATGGCACATCAATGCGAGCTGTGGCAAGAAGGTTTGCTGTGTCTGTCAGCGTAGTGTCCAGAGCATGGAGGCGCTACCAGGAGACAGGCCAGTACATCAGGAGACGTGGAGGAGGCCGTAGGAGGGCAACAACCCAGCAGCAGGACCGCTACCTCCGCCTTTGTGCAAGGAGGAGCAGGAGGAGCACTGCCAGAGCCCTGCAAAATGACCTCCAGCAGGCCACAAATGTGCATGTGTCTGCTCAAACGGTTAGAAACAGACTCCATGAGGGTGGTATGAGGGCCCGACGTCCACAGGTGGGGGTTGTGCTTACAGCCCAACACCGTGCAGGACGTTTGGCATTTGCCAGCGAACACCAAGATTGGCAAATTCGCCACTGGCGCCCTGTGCTCTTCACAGATGAAAGCAGGTTCACACTGAGCACGTGACAGACGTGACAGAGTCTGGAGACGCCGTGGAGAACGTTCTGCTGCCTGCAACATCCTCCAGCATGACCGGTTTGGCGGTGGGTCAGTCATGGTGTGGGGTGGCATTTCTTTGGGGAGCCGCACAGCCCTCCGTGCTCGCCAGAGGTAGCCTGACTGCCATTAGGTACCGAGATGCGATCCTCAGACCCCTTGTGAGACCATATGCTGGTGCGGTTGGCCCTGGGTTCCTCCTAATGCAAGACAATGCTAGACCTCATGTGGCTGGAGTGTGTCAGCAGTTCCTGCAAGAGGAAGGCATTGATGCTATGGACTGGCCCGCCCGTTCCCCAGACCTGAATCCAATTGAGCACATCTGGGACATCATGTCTCGCTCCATCCACCAACAGACTGTCCAGGAGTTGGCGGATGCGTTAGTCCAGGTCTGGGAGGAGATCCCTCAGGAGACCATCCGCCACCTCATCAGGAGCATGCTCAGGCGTTGTAGGGAGGTCATACAGGCACGTGGAGGCCACACACACTACTGAGCCTCATTTTGACTTGTTTTAAGGACATTACATCAAAGTTGGATCAGCCTGTAGTGTGGTTTTCCACTTTAATTTTGAGGGTGACTCCAAATCCAGACCTCCATGGGTTGATAAATTTGATTTCAATTGATAATTGTTGTGTGATTTTGTTGTCAGCACATTCAACGATGTAAAGAAAAAAGTATTTAATAAGATTATTTCATTCATTCAGCTCTAGGATGTGTTATTTTAGTGTTCCCTTTATTTTTTTGAGCAGTGTATATTCATATTTAGATAATACATGCATTTTGATTCTAGACTCCTGTCTGTTATATACAGTACCTTTAGTGACCACGGTGGCCCATGTTGTTTTGTCCCCTCTGCATTTCTCTGGTTCGGGGATGGTGTCCTCCACAGCGCTCCTCATGGGGGCCGAGCGGCACCTGAGACGGGACAGGTAGGTACTCTTCATCTGGGTCGGCAGGCTGCTGAAGAATTTCTTCTCCTGAGTGTGTGAGTGAGTGTGTGAGTGTGTGAGTGTGTGAGTGAGTGAGTGAGTGAGTGAGTGAGTGAGTGAGTGAGTGAGTGAGTGAGTGAGTGAGTGTGTGAGTGTGTGAGTGTGTGAGTGAGTGAGTGAGTGAGTGAGTGAGTGAGTGAGTGAGTGAGTGAGTGAGTGAGTGAGTGAGTGAGTGAGTGAGAGAGAGAGAATCTCAAAATGGTATTCCTGTAATCACTTGTTAGGCCTACAGGCCTTGATCTGCAGACCCGGCATACTGTGTTAATCATGGCTCAGATTCTATTATATTTTTATTATTTTCTATTATAGTCTAGAGATGGATGCATTAAAGTCCCAGAGGGTATTACAGTAGCCTACGTACTTGTTGTTTGATTACAGAGTCAATCTCTCTCTTTTTGAAGATGTTACGATCCATTGGAAGCACAAACGGGTTGTTGGCTTTTCTGTCGTCATCTGCATATCAGAGACAAGAAAAACCTGTCTCCATGGCTGGTGTATATTCATTAAACCAGTGGTTCTCCAACCTCTCCTCTGAGATACCCAGCCGTTCCTAGTATTGGATCTATTCCAGAGCTAACACACCTAATTCAACTAGTCAACTAATCATCATGCCTTTGACTAGGGCAATCAAGGTGAGCTTGTTCAGGGCGACAACAATTGTGAAATGTCTTTGTGTCCCCGAGGAGAGTTTTGAGAATCTGCAATAAACAGCTCAACAAATATCCTATCAAAGGATATGCTGTTAACAAGATTTTTAAAATAAATAAATAAATAAAATAAACGTTATCATGAAAGTAAGAACAATGACGTTTGCCATGGTTCAATTATTTGCATGCATATGTTAAGAATTACCTGTACTATTTCTTGATTTCAGCCAGAACGCATCCAATGTTGGCTTTGCAGTCTCCTCAAGACTTTCTGTAATAAATTACATGTTTATTTGTTTGTTATTCATAATAATAAACGTTTTAGTCAAAGTAAAATCACCCATAAATTGTATATTTGTCCTCAAATTAAATACCTGCCATCCCACACCTTCTCCTTAAGAGGTATTCAGCATTAGGAGTGTGTTTGGGAGAATGTATCTTCACTGAAAGAACATGAATGGTATCATAACATGTCAACAAATAAAGCTTATATAGAGAAAAATGTGCATCTGTGTAAAAGTAGGCCTACCTTTCTTTATCTCAACAATGCTCCAAGGGGAGCCAAGAGGGGAGTGAATGTCCATTTCCAGTTTGTGTTCAGAATAGGTGTAGAATAATTAATATCTGAGGGAATGCAATAACAAATCATTTGAGTTTGCAGTCAAAAATAGCGACTTCTATAGTCTAAATAATCAATAGCCTACATCTTATATTTTTGCATTTGTTAGAATGAGAATCTGATGTTGCTAATTCCGATCACACGTTAAGAAACACATGTTCAGTGCAGGTTATTGCTGTTTACAGAATAGCTCTAATGCCTGCATTCCCGGTCTTATTTCTGTCCACTTGCCTGAAATGTTTCTCAATAGCTTTCTGGGGTGAAATGTCTAAAGTCTGATTTGTTCCAATCTCTGTGCACATGAGGCTAAAACGAGTGGAATCACGTTTCAAATGTAAACATCTCACGCAAATTTGCGCACTGTAACTATGTAGTTACATTACGAAAAGAATGTCAGGGAAATATTGATTCCATCGCTGAAGCACGTGTTCCCTCTTGGTTTCTTTCAACATTTTCGACGTTCAGTATTTAAATCCGTTAGTTTATTTATAGATACATAGGCCTATATAATGTTAGATTATTTACAGATACAATTTTGAAATGTCTACAGAATTGTTTAACTTCAACTCAATCTTCTATCCCCATCATCAATCAACGTTTATTTGTCACGTGCACAGGTAACAGCAGTTGTAAATGAGAACTTGTTCTCAACTGGCTTACCTGGTTAAATAAAGGTTAAATAAAGTAAATAAATAAACAGTACAGTGAAATGCTTACTTGCACGCTTTTCCTCAACAATACACTAACACTAAGTCCTTGTAGCTCAGTTGGTTCATGGCGCTTGTAACGTATGGGACCACCCATACGTAAAATGTATGCACGCATGACTGTTAAGTCGATTTGGATAAAAGTGTCTAATAAATGGCATAGCCTGTATTATATTATATCAGATTTAAAAAACACAGTTAGTGTATCTCTACAGAAGTAGGCCTTTTTTCTCTTGAAATGAAATCCAGTGCCAATTTATCAGTGTATATAGATTACCTCCTTCCATGAAAATACACTTATTGTATTGTGATTTATGCTCAATGGGGTGCAATGGTGTAGTTTCTCTCCATGCCACCATGAAATGGCTTGGCACCGCATTGTCTTGTACAGTAGCCTACAGGAATTTATTGATTTGTTCAGTTGCAGTTCTCAGAAAACACATTACATAGCCTCTGTGTTTGACAGTTTGCCCCTAGTGTTTCTTTTGAAGTAGGCCTATATGTTCTTAGTCTGAGTGCCAGTCTTTTCACTAACATTTCACTCCTTGCCACTTCCTTGGCATTGCCAAAGAGACTGGCCTTTCAGCAATCTCAAAGTTCCTGCGCTGGATTTACGGCGGAGTTGCTCATTGATAGTTGTAAATAACATTAATATTTTCCATGACAACATATGGAGCCTCAAAAATAGAATTACAATTTATATCAAATTTAAAAACAAACACTTAGCTGTTAGCTAGGCAAGTTGTTGTATTTTGAGACTAATACGTTTTGTGGTTGGAATTGCAGTATGTATTTAGTTAGAGAATTTAGATGTGAGTCAGCAACTTTTGACAGACTGGTTAGCAACCGGATACCAACGTGTTCTGTGGAGAAAATGTGAGTTCCAATATTTGCATATTCGTTGTGATAGGAGGATAGCTGTGTGGTTGATCGAATCAGGATCAAATCCTCTGTTCTCATTCCATTAATTAATTCTATATTGTTCATATTTGAAGATGGCAGAAACTAAGACCAGTCCTCTGGAGTGGATTAACTAAAGATACTGGTACCCATGGTAGCTTGTTCTACCACCAACTCCCAAATCCACTTGAGTGAGTGAGTGATAAATATCCAGGTGTTGGAAATTCATTGTAGAATTTCAATGAAAACATTTGAATACATATTTCACTATAACTATTATTCAGTTATTTCTTCAGTTCTATAATGTAAAGGGTGCAACCTATTTTGCATAAACATACAGTGTGCACATGTAGGCCTTATGTTGTAAGAATTCCATTTGTTATGAAAAAATCTTCAGTTGCTGGTAACTTCAGTAAAAACACATAATACCTGTGCCTTAGATTGACTGACTGTATTTACTGTTTAGATTATTCAGATGGACATTGTAACTTTAAATCATTATTTACTCTGATTACGTAGTAATTTCTGTGTACAATCAGTTCCCCAAATTACTATTAAACAAAGTATGAATATATAAAATAACTAAGGTAATAATAAGGCATGAAATTGTCATTTATTGAAAAAGTAATTTCATATTGCTTTTGTGAAGAAAGTTTAATACATTAAATCAAGCTCTATCTAGTTTCAGTGACGAATAAGATCTACTGTCTATAGCCTCAATCAATGTTATCCGACAACTCCTTGTTCAAAACTAGCATGGAATACACAATAATTATTGAAGCGGCTGGGGTTGCGGAAGGAATAAAACATTTGTCTGAAATACAGGGAGACAAAAAGTATACATTTAGACGGATGATAATGATGATGTCACTCGAGGCGGATGCGTTTCCGTGGTGATGCTGGGGGATCCAATGAGAAGGCAGTAGGAGAGGTGGGGCGGGACTCAGGAAGAAGCTCCATGTTATACTTCTCAATGTATGGCTGAGCCACGTTCCACACCTGAATAATCACATAAAATACACAAACTGGATATAAGCGTGTGCTAAATCACAATTTTTAATTTATTTAATGAATATAGGCTCAGAGCGATATCTAGTATGACCTCACACTTACCTTCTGGTCTAGAAGAAGACGATGGACCGCCTCAATGTCTGGAGACATGAACCTATCCTTGATCCAGGGCCTGAGAAGAGGAGAGGCAGAGAGGGTGAGGAGAAGAGGGGGAGGCAGAGAGGGGGAGGAGAAGAGGGGTAGGCAGAGAGGGTGAGGAGAAGAGGGGGAGGCAGAGAGGGTGAGGAGAAGAGGGGGAGGCAGAGAGGGTGGAGGAGGGGGGAAGAAGGGGAGGAAAAGAGGGGGAGGAGAAGAGGGGGAGGCAGAGAGGGTGAGGAGAAGAGGGGGAGGCAGAGAGGGTGAGGAGAAGAAGGGGAGGCAGAGAGAGGGTGAGAGAGAGAGAGGGGAGGCAGAAAGGTGGTGAGAAGAAGAGGGTAGGCAGAGAGGGTGAGGAGAAGAAGGGGAGGCAGAGAGGGTGAGGAGAAGAAGGGGAGGCAGAGAGGGTGAGAAGAAGAGGGTAGGCAGAGAGGGTGAGGAGAAGAGGGGAGGCAGAGAGGGTGAGGAGAAGAAGGGGAGGCAGAGAGGGTGGAGGAGAAGAGGGGTAGGCAGAGAGGGGTGAGAAGAAGAGGGGGAGGAGAGAGGGTGAGGAGAGAAAGTAGGTGGGTGAGGAGAAGAGAGGGTGAGGAGAGAGGGAGAAAGAAGGGGAGGCAGAGAGGGTTGAGGAGAAGAGGGGGGAGGCAGAGAGGGTGAGGAGAAGGGGGTAGGCAGAGAGGGTGAGGAGAAGAGGGGGAGGAAGAGAGGGTGAGGAGAAGAGGGGAGCAGCGAGGGTGGGAGAGGAGAAGAGGGGGAGGCAGAGAGGGTGAGGAGAAGAGGGGGGAGGCAGAGAGGGTGAGGAGAAGAGGGGGAGGAGGCAGAGAGGGTGAGGAGAGAGAAGAGGGGGCAGAGAGGTGCAGAAGAGAGGGGATGCAGAGAGGTGAGAAGAAGGAGGGGGAGGCAGAGAGGGTGAGAAGAAGAGGGGGAGGCAGAAGAGGGTGAGGAGAAGAGGGGGAGGCAGAGAGGGTGAGAGAAGAGGGGGAGGCAGAGAGGGTGAGGAGAAGAGGGGAGGCAGCAGAGAGGTGAGGAGAAGAAGGGGAGGCAGAGAGGGTGAGGAGAAGAGGGGGTAGGCAGAGAGGTGAGGAGAAGAGGGGAGGCAGAGAGGGGTGAGGCAGAAGAGGGGGAGGCAGAGAGGGTGAGGAGAAGAGGGGGAGGGCAGAGAGGGTGAGGAGAAGAGGGGAGGCAGAGAGGGTGAGAGAAGAGGGGGAGGCAGAGAGGGTGAGGAGAAAGAGGGGGAGGCAGAGAGGGGGAGGAGAAGAGGGGGGAGGCAGAGAGGGGGAGGAGAAGAGGGGGCAGAGGAGGAGAAGAGGGGGAGGAGAAGAGGGAGGCAGAGAGGGTGAGGAGAAGAGGGGTAGGCAGAGAGGGTGAGGAGAAGAGGGGGAGGAAGAGGAGGGGGAGGAGAAGAGGGGGAGGCAGAGAGGGTGAGGAGAAGAGGGGTAGGCAGAGAGGGTGAGGAGAAGGGGGGGAAGAGAGGGTGAGGAGAAGAGGGGGAGGCAGAGAAGGGGAGCGAATCGGGGGGGAGTTACAGAATGAGGAGAAGAGCAGGCACAGAAAGAAGAGGGTCACTGGATAAATATTAACCAACTTTCTCAATCATTTCAGGGGACTGAGATGTGTGTTGTGTGTGTTACAGTGTGCACACACTGGCCAGATCTGTTTGACTTACTTGACTACGCTGCGTACAAGGTCATAGACCTTCTCCAATGGTGTTGTGGTACGCAGGGGGCGGAGGAACTCAATGCCCTGGCAGGCAGCTAGCAGCTCAATTGCTAGGACTGAAGAGGGGGAGAGGAAATGGGACAGGTTATAGACCAATTGTGGACCCTCAGAATAACACGTCATTCACATAATGACATTTTCTTCCTGATTGGATGAGTATCTTCAACAAGAGTATTATACAAGTTATGATATAGGATCAAATGTAATAAATAAATAAACATTCTTAGTAATGTTCAATGCATAGAAATATACCAAATTAGAGACCGAAAAAGCCAAAAGTTCCTTTTTGACATAGAGGTAAAAAGTATGTTAAAGGCCCAGTGGAGTTGAAAACTTGATTTTCCTGTGTTTTATATATATTTCCACAGTATGAGGTTGGAATAAAACTGTGAAATTGTGAAAATGATGATAATGCCCTTTAGTGTAAGAGCTGTTTGAAAAGACCACCTGAAATTTCAGCCTGTTTTGGTGAGATGGAGTGTTGACCTGCCTGGTGACATCACCAGTTGTTGAACTAGTTAATAGACCAATAAGAAAGACAGTTTCAAACCTCTCTGCCAATAATACTGTAGATCGTTTTCAGTTTCCCCCTCCCCACTCAGACCACTCCTAGACAATCCTAGCAACAGTCTTGCATGAGAAATTGCTCTTTGCTAAGAAGCTATTTTTGTTTATTTATGTCAATTTTAATTGAAAGCAATCACAGTAAGGTACTTCATTGTTCCCCAGAAATGATCTGATTTTGAGATTTAAAAAGACAGCTGCATTGGACCTTTAACGCTGGTTGAGCTCTCTAAATGTGGGCTAGTCTTTAAACGCCCACACCGGTAGAAATCCACTTTTTTGAGCTGAAAGACGATGGCCAGAGTTTACCCATGATGTTGCACAATGATTTAAGTCAACGTGCATTTCATCCCTAGGACAAGAAATTAAGTAGAAATGGTGGCGGCAACTTCCTCGGGGGGGGGGGGGGGGGGGGGGGGTCTTTTAAATATCGCTGACTTCTTGTTTTTCTGTGTTTGCATGAACTCCACTACTGCAGTTGTCTGCATCACCGTGAAGTTACATATTACCCAGAATACACACTGTCAGTAGAAGTAGGACATTTTCACAGTAACTGGGTAAATGTTTCCCAATTCAGACTAAGATGAACAACCCTTCTACAGTACATCAGTTTACATCAGTATACATCAGTTTACATCAGTTTACATCAGTATAGATCAGTATACATCAGTTTACATCATTTACTTCCGTTTGTTTGCTGCTCACTATTTCCATGAAATGCTCAAAAGCAGATAACTTTGAGGTTTGGAATTAGGGATCAATTTAGTACACAGCTCGGGGCAGAAAAACCATTCACCAATGAATTGCAAGCTTGCGCAGACATGCCCCAGCCCAGGCTAGAACCAATTAAATTATTTTCATGTTATTGCCACTTTGTGTATGAACCCAGCCAAACAAATATTTCTATGTGAATTTCACATAAAAAATCTGATAGGTAACTAATTAATATCTAGTATCAAAATATTGCTTCCTTTCAACAGTAACAAATCATCAAAACATGAATATCTATTGTATCAAGTCCAAATCAACGGTTAGTTTCCCACCTTGTTCCACGTGTTCCACGACCCTCAGGGCTTTCCTGGCTGCCCAGCCTCCCATGGACACGTGGTCCTCGGTGGCTGCGCTGGTGGACAGGGAGTCCACTGAAGACGGGTGGCACAGCACCTTGTTCTCTGAAACTACACAAGTGAAACAGGATATAACGATTGGTTTTATGAATTTAGGAGTAACGTTTCAGGACACGTTTCAGCCATCAAGCCTTTGTAGCTTTTGTAGACAAAGGCTTGATGGCTGAAACACACGCATTGTGAGTGGGTGTGTTTCAATCTAAGTAATACTTTATTTCTCACTGCTAGCCTTCTTTATCACACAGTCGGTTTACTCCTGGGCACCCAAAGACGTAATTACATACGTTAGTAAGAGCTGATCCTTTACTAACCCAGGGAAGCGGCTGTACAGTGTGCGATCATGAATCCAGAGTTGAGCCCTCCCTCGTTGACTAGGAAGGCTGGCAGCTCACTGAGAGACGGGTTACACAGACGCTCAATCCTCCTCTCACTGATGGCTGCCAGCTCATGGACACCTATAGCCAAGAAGTCCAGGGCCTAGAGACATAAAGAGAGAGAGAGAACAATGGAGGAATATGAGTTATATCAAAGCAAATCAAATCAAAGATTATTGGTCGCGTACACAGGTTAGCAGATGTTATCGCAGCTGGAGCGAAATGTTTATGTTTCCAGCTCCAACAGTGCGGTAATACTTAGCAATACAAAATAATACACACATAATCCAAAAAGTTAAAAAAATAAAAAAAATAATTAAGAAATATTAGAATAAGCAATGTCAGAGTCCGGATTATAAATGGGTTTATATACAAATCAAATCAAATCAAATTGTATTGGTCACATACACGTGTTTAGCAGATGTTATTGCGGGTGTAGCGAAATGCTTGTGTTTCTAGCTCCGACAGTGCAGTAATATCTAACAATTTCACAACATATACCCAATACAAAGGAATTAAGAATATGTACATATATGGACATGCGATGTTAGAGTGGCATGTACATATACAGTACCAGTCAAAAGTTTGGACACACCAACTCATTCAAGGGTTTTTCTTTATTTTTACTATTTTCTACACTGTAACTTTAGAATAATGGTGAAGACATCAAAACTATTAAATAACACATAGTAACCAAAAAAGTGTTAAACAAATCAAAATATATTTTATATTTGAGATTCTTCAAAGTAGCCACCCTTTGCCTTGATGACAGCTTTGCACACTCTTGGCATTCTCTCAACCAGCTTCATGAGGAATGCTTTTCCAACTTTCTTGAAGGAGTTCCCACATATGCTGAGCACTTGTTGGCTGCTTTTCCTACACTCTGCAGTCCAATTCATCCCAAACCATCTCAATTGGGTTGAGATCGGGTGATTGTGGAGGCCAGCTCATCTGATGCAGCACTCCATCACTCTCCTTCTTGGTCAAATAGCCCTTACACAGCCTGGAGGTGTGTTGGGTCATTGTCCTGTTGAAAAACAAATTATAGTCCCACTAAGCGCAAACCAGATTGGGATGGCGTATCGCTGCAGAATGCTGTGGTAGCCATGCTGGTTAAGTGTGCCTTGAATTCTAAATAAATCACTGACAGTGTCACCAACAAAGCACCCCCACACCATCACATCTCCTCCTCCATGCTTCACGGTGGGAAGCACACATCCGGAGATCATCTGTTCACCTACTCTGCGTCTCACATAAACACGGCGGTTGGAACCAAAAATCTCAAATTTGGACTCATCAGACCAAAGGACAGGTTTCCACCAGTCTAATGTCCATTGCTAATGTTTCTTGGCCCAAGCAAGTCTCTTCTTCTTATTGGTGTCCTTTAGTAGTGGTTTCTTTGCAGCAATTCGACCATGAAGGCCTGATTCACACAGTCTCCTCTGAACAGTTGATGTTGAGATGTGTCTGTTACTTGAACTCTGTGAAGCATTTATTTGGGCTGCAATCTGAGGCTGGTAACTCTAATGAACTTATCCTCTGCAGCAGAGGTAACTCTGGGTCTTCCTTTCCTGTGGCGCTCCTCATGAGAGCCAGTTTCATCATAGCGGTTGATGGTTTTTGCGATTGCATTTTAAGAAACATTTAAAGTTCTTGACATTTTCCGTATTGACTGACCTTCATGTCTTAAAGTAATGATGGACTGTCATTTCTCTTTGCTTATTTGAGCTGTTCTTGCCATAATATGGAATTGGTCCTTTACCAAAAAGGGCTATCTTCTGAGACACAAATAAATCTATCTCAAAGATGCACTATGCAGAAATCACTCCACCACTTCCTGGTTGCTAAAATTCTAATAGTTCGCCCAATTTCAGTTATGTGACAAAACAAGCAAGTAGAGAATCATTGTACCATCATCATCACTGTACCATCTAAACCGCTGTGAAATATATTTTCCATAACCCAAAATATTGTATTTTTAGCTGTTTGAAGCTGGTGTACAAAACTGAAAGTAAAAGACGCAAAAAAACGAAACTTAAGAACGGGAAGCATAGAAATTGCACTCTGTCTCCTAAAGCTCTGAACCAAGAGTTTGATATCAGACCATTTCTTACATGAATATTTCACTTTTAATGTTATTGAGCGTTTCTCCTTTGCCAAGATAATCATCCACCTGACAGGTGTGGCATATCAAGAAGCTGATTAAACAGCATGATCATCACACAGGTGCACCTTGTGCTGGGGACAATAAAAGGCCACTCTAAAATGTGCAGTTTTTTCACACAACACAATGCCACAGATTTGTCAAGTTCTGAGGGAGCGTGCAATTGGGATGCTGACTGCAGGAATGTCCACCAGAGCCGTTGCCAGATAATTGAATGTTCATTTCCTTACCATAAGCCGCCTCCAATGTCGTTTTAGAGAATTTCACAGTACATCCAACCGGCCTCACAACTGCAGACCACGTGTATCCACGCCGGCCCAGGACCACATCAACCCAGGACCTCCACATCCGGCTTCTTCAGCTGCGGGATCGTCTGAGACCAGCCACCCGGACAGCTGATGAAACTGAGGAGTATTTCTGTCTCTAATAAAACCCTTTTGTGGAAAAACTCATTCTGATTGGCTGGGCCTGGCTCCCCAGTGGGTGGGCCTGGCTCCCAAGTGGGTGGGCCTATGCCCTCCCAGGCCGACCCATGGCTGCGCCCCTGCCCAGTCATGTGAAATCCATAGATTAGGGCCTAATGAATTCATTTCAATTGACTGATTTCCTTATATAATATGATAACTCAGTAAAATTCCTTATATGAACTGTAACTCAGTAAAATCATTTAAATTGTTGCATATTGCATTTATATTTTCATTTATAAGTTCAGTATAACTTAAGAAATCTGTTCCCAAGTAGAGGCTCGTCACAACATTAGCTCTCTGAGATTCATTACATTTACATTTTACATTTACATCATTTAGCAGACGCTCTTATCCAGAGCGACTTACAAATTGGTGCACTCACCTTTTTTTTTGGGGGGGGGGGGGGGGGGGGGGGGGGGGCGGGGGGGGTAAGGGGGGTAGAAGGATTACTTTATTCTATCCCATTGGTATCGAACATGTTAAGACTCCTAGGAGGGGGGGAGATACTGATCATCTATTATTGAGAAGAGAATTGTATTGGATTCACCGTTTGTGCACCATGTCTCCTAAAGGTCTGAATCAAGAGTTTGATATCAGACCATTTCTTATATGAATATGTGGAACAGGTTGAGAGCTTCAAGTTCCTTGGTGTCCACATCACCAACAAACTATCATGGTCCAAACACACCAAGACAGTCGTGAAGAGGGCACGACAAAGCCTATTCCCCCTCAGGAGACTGAAAAGATTTGGCATGGGTCCTCAGATCCTCAAAAAATTCTACAGCTGCACCATCGAGAGCATCCTGACTGGTTGCATCACCGCCTGGTATGGCAACTCCTTGGCCTCCGACCGCAAGTCACTACAGAGGGTAGTGCGTACGGCCCAGTACATCACTGGGGCCAAGCTTCCTGCCATCCAGGACCTCTATACCAGGCGGTGTCAGAGGAAGGCCCTCAAAATTGTCAAAGACTCCAGCCACCCTAGTCATAGACTGTTCTCCCTGCTACCGCACGGCAAGCGGTACCGGAGTGCCAAGTCTAGGTCCAAAAGACTTCTCAACAGCTTTTACCCCCAAGCCATAAGACTCCTGAACAGCTAATCATGGCTACCCGGACTATTTGCACTGCCCCCCCACCCCATCCTTTTTACGCTGCTGCTACTCTGTTAATTATTTATGCATAGTCACTTTAACTATACCCACATGTACATATTACTTCAACTATCTCAACTAGCCGGTGCCCCCGCACATTGACTCTGCACCGGTACCCCCCTGTATATATAGCCTCCCTACTGTTATTTTATCTTACTTCTGCTCTTTTTTTCTCTACACTGTTAAAATAAATGCACTGTTGGTTAAGGGCTGTAAGTAAGCATTTCACTGTAATGTCTGCACCTGTTGTATTCGGCGCATGTGACCAATAACATTTGATTTGATTTGATGTCACGTTGATTTGTCCTGCCATCCAGGTCTCCACTTGGTCATTTTGTACATGTACTGTATATTAGATTATATAACTACTACATGTGCCCATCTCATTGATATAAAATTATTAGAGATACACAAATTGTTTTTGAAATGGTTCACTGGAATTATATCTACGGCCACCGCGCCTCCTGCGAGTAATGGTCATTTGGGCGGGTATTCCAACAGTTTCCAACGTAATCTTTTTTAACTTGAAACTATGTATATAATCCTTAATGACCATATGTACCTCTGTGATTAATTATGATTGATTGTGCACAAAAGTGAATTGAATGGTTTCCACACCCACCATGCGTCATGTACGTAATAGTCATGTGAGGTGAAATGTGTATATTTTAGGATGTGAGCACTCAGTTTGTTTGTTTGACCTGACGAAGATCCGTTTCAGATCAAAACGTTGTCAATAAAGCGGTGAGTTGGGAGCTTTAACAGTGTGCATTGACAGCTTTAACAGTGTGCTGGTCAATTTGCAGTCTACAAATGATTTGTAATTATGTTCCGGCCCCTCCAACCATCCAATCTAGTTGATGATCCTTGGGTTTATACTGTATATTTTATCATCTCACTTAGTTCTAAATCTCAGGAAAACTCAGAATACTCAGTCCACCAGAAGCCTTTGATACCTTTGCTGGGTATTCTCCATGGAAGTTTCCTCCTGAGATGGTCTCTCCTCTCTCTGCAAACACCATCTGATTCAGACATTAAGGATAAAACTGGCAATGAAGGTAGAAATTGTCAAATTTGGTTAGAGGAATACACACACCACACACAGTGAAGGATACAGGGTTGTCGGTGGCGCTGTTGATCTCTGTGTTGATGATTTTCTGGGTAAAATCTATTGTGTCGTTCACAATACCGTGGACCTGTGGACGAAGAGAAAAGGCCAGGCTGAGTTTAGTCCTGACCTGGAGGGGATTCTCTGTGAACTAAATATAAAACTCTGTTGACCTCTGACCCCTATGTTAAGTCACCTGAGGACAGCAGCGCATGGTGTAGGCATCCTGGACTCTGTCACAGAACCGATGGCTCTCTGTAGAGGAAGAAGAACAACAAGATGACTTTATTGTCCAATGATTACTATATCCCAACTCCTCCAAAAGACACGCACGCACGAATGGACACACACACACACACACACACACACACACACACACACACACACACACAGATTAGAGAGGTTGGAGCAGAGGGTCAGCCATAGTACAGCAACCTGATCCATTCACTCACCTGCGATCTCCGAGGGGTGGTGGTCTGAGTCCAGTAGGGCGCGGAACCTCATGGCCACTTCTATCTGTCCTGGATGGGGCCGCAGGGCGTGGATATCTAGAATGATGGAGGACTGAGTTAGCATAGCGTAGCTAAATCAGTCTCAATCACGATGTTTTACGTCAGTTGTTGTGGCCACAGGGTGTGGATATCTAGAATGATGGAGGACTGAGTTAGCATAGCGTAGCTAAATCAGTCTTAACGGGCCTTCTCACCGCTGTCGAAGGCCTTGGAGGTCCCCTTCAGCACCTCCAGGGTGATAGCAGCGATGATGTCCGCCTGCCTGGCGATGGCCTGGGCTCTCTCCACTGCCTCTGCCCCCAGAGACGTGATCATCTGGGTCCCATTGATTAACGCCAGGCCCTATGGGCAGGGGAGAGAGATGGCTTTTAACCCAATCCCCACATACATCCCCTTGGAAACCAGGGTCAGCCGAACAATTGTGGTCCAGAGAGTTGAGCTGAAGAAGAGTTGATCCAACACAGCCCAGAGACAAGCCAAACATAGGAGTCTCATCCCATCGAACAACCTCTCTCAAGGACTGGAGTTAAAAAACCTTTGTTGTGGAAAATCAGAGAACCTGATTAAAGTTGGTTTGTTGTAAATGGTACACAGATACACTGTGTGAACTCAAATCAACCCTCCATAGAGTGACAGAGAACAACAACAGAGTGATTTCCCTTTACCTCCTTGGGCTTCAGTGATATTGGCTTGAGTCCATGAGCCTCCAGTACCTGGGCAGAGAGATGAAAGGGGGAAAAGAGGGGGAAAACAAATGTAAAAGGTCAAGCGTCATAGAAACACAAACATTCTCATCTGACCTCTCAGTAGTCAGTCTACCACCATTTTTGATCACAATGTCAACATTGTCACTGGGGATATTGTGCAATGTCCCAATCATCCAGACCCATTGAGAGGTTACAGTGATATCAGTTTGTTAGTTATACAGCTACACGCTGTCATTATAAATAAGAATTTGTTCTGAATCGCCTGGTTACATAAAGGTGAAATAGAACATGAAGTAAATGCAGTGATATGGCTTACGTATTTGGCGTCGGCCCATCCACTCTTGGGTGACCACATCTTGCCTTCTCCCATCAGCCCCAGAGCCAGGTGGGAGAGGGGGGCCAGGTCTCCGCTGGCACCAACTGTTCCCTTCTCAGGGACGAAGGACAGGCAGGACGCTATGAGGAGAAGACAATCAGAGATGTGATAGATAGACCCCACTCAACGTCTCTCTGTTTCTGTTTGTTTAACGTTGATGTTGTTGTTTTTTCAATGAAAGAATCTACAAAGATTCCTCTCTGAAGTGGCCCATTCAATGGAAGTAATGGAACCAAAATAACAAACGGAACCAAAAGAACCAACACATTGGATGGTCAGTTATCATGGTCAAGTCATATTGATAAAGTTGTTGTGAAGATGGGGAGAGGTACACTATATACACAAAAGCCAATTAGGGGTGCGCACGGGGACCACGCCTCATTGTTTAGCTTGTTCCAAGGTGCAGTGGAATTTACTGGATTCATGGAAAACGTTGGTGCATTTAGGCCCTACTGTCTGTCCATAGACCTACACTATATATACAAAAGTATGTGGACACCCCTTCAAATGAGTGGATTTGGCAATTTCAGCCACACCCGTTGCTGACAGGTGTATAACATTGAGCACACAGTCATGCAATCTCCATAGACAAACATTGGCAGTAGAATGGCCTTACTGAAGAGCTCAGTGACTTTCAACGTGGCACCGTCATAGGATGCCACCTTTCCAACAAGTCAGTTCGTCAAATTTCTGCCTTACTAGAGGTGCCCCGGTCAACTGTAAGTGCTGTTATTGTGAAGTGGAAACGTCTAGGAGCAACAACGACACATCCGCAAAGTGGTAGGGCACACAAGTTCACAGAACGGGACCTCCGAGTGCTGAAGCACGTAGCGTGTAAAATGTGTCTGTCCTCGGCTGGAACACTCACTACCGAGTTCCAAACTGCCTCTGGAAGCAAGGTCAGCACAAGAACTGTTCGTCGGGAGCTTCATGAAATAGGTTTCCATGACCGAGCAGCCGCACACAAGCCTAAGATAACCATGCACAATGCCAAGCGTCGGCTGGATTGGTTTAAAGCTCGCCACCATTGGACTCTGGAGCAGTGGAAACGTGTTCTCTAGAGTGATAAATCACGCGTCACCATCTGGCAGTCCGACGGACGAATCTGGGTTTGGTGGATGCCAAGAGAACGCTACCTGCCCGAATGCATAGTGCCAACTGTAAAGTTTGGTGGAGGAGGAATAATGGTCTGGGGCTGTTTTTCATGGTTCGGGCTAGGCCCCTTAGTTCCAGTGAAGGGAAATATTTACGTTACGGCATATGATGACATTCTAGATGATTCTGTGCTTCCAACTTTGTGGCAACAGTTTGGGGAAGGCCCTTTCCTGTTTCAGCATGATAATGCCCCTGTGCACAAAGCGAGGGCCATATAGAAATGGTTTGCCGAGATCGGTGTGGAAGAACTTGTCTGGCCCTGAACTCCATCGAACACCTTTGGGATGAATTGGAACGCCGACTGCGAGCCAGGCCTACTCGCCCAACATCAGTGGCCAACCTCACTAATGCTCTTGTGGCTGAATGGAAGCAAGTTCCCGCAGCAATGTTCCAACATCTAGTGGAAAGCCTTCCCAGAAGAGTGGAGGATGTTATAGCAGCAAAGGTGGGACCAACTCCACATTAATGCCCATGATTTTGGAATTAGATGTTCGACGAGCAGGTGTCCACATACTTTTGGTCATGTAGTGTATGTCTGTTATAAAAATATGTTCTGCCGTTTTTGACACAAAGATCAACTGTACTTGTTGTTCAGGCTCTGATCTTGTCCCATCTTGATTACTGTCCGGTAATATGGTCAGTTTCAGCCAAGAAAGACCTAGCAAAGCTGCAGCTGGCTCAAAACAAAGCAGCACGCCTTGCCCTTAACTGCACACACAGAACTAACATCAACAACATGCATGATAGTCTTTCATGGTTGAGGGTTGAGGAGAAATTGACTACTTCTCTTCTAGTCTTTTAAAGAAACATTTGTGTGCTGAAAATGCCTAACCACCAGACACGCCACTATGGGTTTCTTCCCGGTACCCAAAAACAGATTTAATGCATCGCTCAGTTATCTATAGAGAGCCATGTCATCGTGGAATGCTCTGCCACCAGAGGTTACAAAGGCAAAAAGCAAGTTTAGCTTTAAAAAACTGATAAAAACATATTGTATCACAGCGCCTCTCCTCTTTCTAAAGATCTACTTTAATTGTACTGTATATAAGAATATGAATAGGTATATATGAATAGTGTTTAAATAGTATTTTGGTAGTCTCTTGGTGTCTTTCCTATATTTTACATTTTAGTCATTTAGCAGACGCTCTTATCCAGAGCGACTTACAGTTAGTGAGTGCATACATCGAACCCACAACCCTGGCGTTGCAAGCGCCATGCTCTACCAACTGAGCTACAGGATAACTCTTATTTTTATTATTTTATTTTAAATGTAATGTTATATCTTATATTGTTCTTGTCTATAACTGTTCTGTACTTTGTCATGTATTTGTACGTTTTATGTGGACCCCAGGAAGAGTAGCTGCAGCATGTGTAGTAGCTAACGGGGATCCTAATACACTAAACTAAACTAAACTAAACTAAATGGAACCAAAATAACTAATGGAATCAATGGAACCAACTGAACCAATGGAACCAAAATAACTAAAGGATCCAACAGAACCAATAGCACCAATGGAATCAATAGAATGTAGGTTATCCCTGAGGTAAAGCTGAGGTGAAAGCCAGGGTTAAGGAGTTTACCATTGAAGGCCTGAATCATTCTGTGCAGGGTTTCCAGGGAGATTCCACTGTATCCTTTAGCCAGGACATTGATCCTCAGAGCCAACAACATCCTGGTCCTCTCTGGGCTCAGTGGGTTGCCCACACCTAAACACCAGTGTAATGGGGAAGTTTAAAATCATTGAGATCCATGGTATAGTATGGGCCCCAAAACAAGACCAGTGAATATAAAAGCGAATATATAAGAATGGATATATTCATAGCGAATATACAAGAATGAAAAAAAAGACAGACTTTGCATGAATTGAAATCAAGTTTTTTTTTAGGTTTCATGCTTTCGTAATGGAAAACATGGGCCAGTTAGATATTAGTACCTGTAGCTCGGTTATACATTAGGTCACTAACCTGCAGAGTGTGATCGCACCAGATTTTCCTGTAGCTCCCTATGGGAATACAACACATGGACACATAGTAAGCAAACAATGCACCAATCTTATCAGACAATATTCAGAGAAAAAAGAGAGAGTACTGTACTTGAGCTTGTGGACAGGAATGACAGTCCGGGCAAATTTACCAAATCCTGTAGTGATTCCATAGACAACTAGAGAGAGCGAAAGACAGTTGCATGTAGGTCAATTCTCTGATGACAGTGAACAATTTGTTGCACTCTCACACCCAGGAAAGTTTTAATCAGGTGTTTACCATCACAGTCTATTGAATATTATGTTAAAATTAGTGCAAGGCTCATTATATAGGGGTGGATTGTCAACAGCATGGTTCAGATTATATGCTATTCTATAATCATATGTGTGTTATACTGTTATTCAGTGTTATATGTTTCCTCTTCCATTATCCTTCTTCTGTTATGGGTAAATTAATCATTCCATACTCATCATGGCAGGATTCTAACTTGGATTCTAAGGATTCTAACTTGGATTCTAAGGATTCTAACTTGGATTCTAACTTGGATTCTAACTTGGATTCTAACTTGGATTCTAACTTGGATTCTAACTTGGATTCTAAGGATTCTAACTAGGATTCTAACTTGGATTCTAAGGATTCTAACTTGGATTCTAACTAGGATTCTAAGGATTCTAACTTGGATTCTAAGGATTCTAACTTGGATTCTAACTTAGATTCTAAGGATTCTAACTTGGATTCTAACTAGGATTCTAAGGATTCTAACTTGGATTCTAACTTGGATTCTAAGGATTCTAACTAGGATTCTAAGGATTCTAACTTGGATTCTAACTAGGATTCTAAGGATTCTAACTTGGATTCTAACTAGGATTCTCAGGATTCTAACTTGGATTCTAACTAGGATTCTAAGGATTCTAACTTGATTCTCTCACCTTTGTTCTCCTTGACGATGGTGTCCAGAAGCTCTCTGGATTTCACAACTCCGTTCTCTGCCTCTGAGGTCAGCTGAAAGGTTAGGTACAGGAGGAAAGGAGAGGACAGGAGGAGGAGAAGGATTGGGTAACGATAGGATCAGCTCGTCATGAAGAACAAAGGTGAGAGAATCAAGTTAGACTCCTTAGAATCCTAGACCACAAGCTTGTTGATCATCACCTTAAAATATGTTTTTGGTGATCAACTGTTTATTCATTTTTGTTGAAACAGTTACAAAAGGACAAATACAGACAACTATTTGGCCTACATTTTTCCAAGAAATGCCCCAAAATGAATAATACTTTTAAAAAATATATAATCAGGAAAAAATATTAAAGAAATAATTACCTTGATCTTGTACAGACCCCTTCCTAAATTCACCAGGTCTGTCGAAGTCAGGCTGTTGCCGTCTAAGAAAAGGTACTGGAGAGAAGAAAGCATGTGTTGCTTATGAACTGATTTGATATGAATAAAATAACATGTAAGGCAGTGTTATATGCCAGTAATACTCACATTGTCTGATTCTCTATATGCAGCTGTCCTGTTTGATAATGGTTAAGGATATGGACCAAAATTATGCTATGTTAACCCCCAAATGACTACAGCATGGAGTCTCAATCAATAACCTAAGTAGGCTACTATGACATATTTTGCCATGTGCATAATGACCACCTATCTTCCATTTATGACTAGCTAATATGAGATTTATAAAAAATGTATGACACACATTTGTAGTCAAATTATACTCATAATCAAAATACTTTTCTGGGTAATACATTCCATTCCAACATTGACATGCGAGCAGGTGACACAATAAGGATACAGGTGTGAAACTCCAGGCTGGTATGGAACGAAGTCTGTAGACATGGTATCCCCTTCGATGGCTACAAATAGATGATATGAATCAATACACGTCATATTAATAGACGTTCTACCAAAAAAACACACATGCTTTCTATTGCGCGTGCACATCCTATTCTATTGTAGACCATGCCATGTTTCCTGAAGTTTTCCAAGTGAGAAAACAAGTTGTTCTATTCCATTCATCTACCTTTTAAGTGGTACAAAGTAAAATAAATTGAATATAGATGAATTACCAATTTCGACGAAGTCATTGTCCTCGAGGACATCCTCTATGGTGTCATCGCCGTCCAACAGCCCCTGTCCCTGGCACCTCCTAGCGACAAACCGAATGTCTTTCACCGCCTTGATGCCCCCGTTGTCGGGCTTGTTCTTGGTGTAGCGTTTGAGCGCCTCGTAGCCCAGCCATTGGATGGTGTAGGTGGGGTCCCGACAGGGAACAGCCAGCCACTCGTCCCGAATGTGAACTGTATAGCGAGGCATGGCGCGTCAGTTAGGATTAGGTTAGCCTACTGTAGTAAAATGACTCTCGAGCGTCGTTCGCCATCCAAGGTACCAGGTTCAGGAGGCAAAAAGGCAACAGCCAATCAGGGGTGCGCACGGGGACCACACCTCATTGTTTAGCTTGTTCCAAGGTGCAGTGGAATTTACTGGATTCATGGAAAACGTTGGTGCATTTAGGCCCTACTGTCTGTCCATAGACCTACACTATATATACAAAAGTATGTGGACACCCCTTCAAATTAGTGGATTCGGCTATTTCAGCCACACCTGTTGCTGACAGGTGTATAATATCGAACACACAGTCATGCACTCTCCATAGACAAACATTGGCACTAGAATGGCCTTACTGAAAAGCTAAGTGAGCCAATTGTGCGCCGCCTCATGGGTCTCCTAGTCATGGCCGGCTGCGACACAGCCTGGGATCGAACCCAGGCCTCTAGCACTATGCAGTGCCTTAGACCACTGCGCCACTCGGGAGGCCCCCAGTGAAGGGAAATATTAACGCTACAGCAGGAATTCAGCATACAATGACATTCTAGACGATTCTGTGCTTCCAACTTTATGGCAACAGTTTGGGAAGGCCCTTTCCTGTTTCAGCATGACAATGCCCCCGTGCACAAGCGAGGTCCATACAGAAATGGTTTGTCGGTGTGGAAGAACTTGACTGGCCTGCACAGAGCCCTGACCTCAACCCCATCGAACACCTTTGGGATAAATTGGAACGCCGACTTTGAGCCAGGCTTAATCGCCCAACATCAGTGTCCGACCTCACTAGTGCTCTTGCGGCTGAATGGAAGCAAGTCCCCGCAGCAATGTTAGAACATCTAGTGGAAAGCCTTCCCAGAAGAGTGGAGGCTGTTATAGCAGCAAAGGGGGGGACCAACTCCATATTAATGCCCATGATTTTGGAATGAGATGTGAGCGACGAGCAGGTGTCCACATACTTTTGGTCATGTAGTGTATCTCACTGGGCACAGACGTCAATTCAAGTCGATTCCACGTTGGTTCAACGTCATTTTGTTGAAATGACATAGAAACTACATTGATTCAACCAGTGTGTGCCCAGTGGGATGGTGTTGTCAATGCTAAAGGCTATGTGTAATAATAAAACCACCATGTTCATTCTAACAACAGGCCAATTGAAATTTTAGGCATTGCAGCCATTTTCTCTCTTTTTTTGTGCCTAATTGACACCTATTGATTTTTAAATCATGTTCTTAAATTGACATCTCCTGGCTGGATGAGGATTATCTCATTACTATTCCAGTTCTTTACACAATTTGTTATGTCTTTGACTCCAAACCCCATTAACCAGTAGTTTGATATCTAAATAAATAACTTGTTAAAAGTGTTCAATGGGCTTGCTTTCATGTATTAAATCGATGTTTGGCACAGAGGTCGAATAGACATTTGCCCTCATGCACCCAGTCTGGTCTAGGCCAGTTCCAAAATCAATGTACCTCCACTGACAATTACACACCATGACACACACAACCTTGAGCAGTGGGTAATGTGTTTTAGAGAGTCCCTTTTGATATCAACGTAAATGTAATTAAACTGTTATAAGAAGGACTATGTAATGTAAAGAGTTACCTAGAATAATTATACACTAGATCATATCCGATTTTGGCTCAATAACTCTCTCTCTCTCTCTCTCTCTCTCTCTCTTGCTCTCTCACACCCACACCCTGTGCCTTTGGTGCGCAACAAGAGTACAGCCCTATAAAACGGACCTCCTAGGGGTACATTAGAATAAGCCATGACTATGACTATGCTCTATACTGTATGTTCTATACTCTATGTTCTATGACTATGTACCGCTACAGAGGGTAGTGTGTACGGCCCAGTACATCACTGGGGCCGAGCTCCCTGCCATCCAGGATCTCTATACCAGGCGGTGTCAGAGGGTAGTGTGTACGGCCCAGTACATCACTGGGGCCGAGCTCCCTGCCATCCAGGATCTCTATACCAGGCGGTGTCAGAGGAAGGCCCTAAAAACACCCCAGCCACCCAAGTCATAGACTTGGCAAGCAGTACCGATGCACCAAGTCTGTAACCAACAGGAACCTGAACAGCTTCTGCCCCCAAGCCATAAGATTGCTAAAATGGTTAGTTAATTAGTTAAGCTACCCGGACTATCTGCATTGACCGTTTTTTGACTCATCACACACGCTGCAGCTACTGTTTTTGCCTAGTCACTTTATCCCTACCTATATGTACATATTATCTCAATCACCTCGTACCCCTGCACATCGACTTAGTACTGATACCCCTGTAGCTCAGTTGGTAGAGCATGGCGCTTGCAATGCCAGGGTTGTGGGTTTGTTTCCCACGGGGGGCCAGGGGGGGCCAGTATGAAAAATGTATGCACTCACAAACCCTAAGTTGCTCTGGAGAAGAGCGTCTGCTAAATGACAAAAAAAAAAAAATATATATATATATATATATAGTTATCTTTACTCATTGTGTTACTTATTTATTCCTTGTGTTATTATTTTTCTATTATTTCTCTGCATTGTTGGGAAGGGCCCGTAAGCATTTCACTAGGCAGGTTTCCATTGAACAGGGTTTATTAGACAAAAGCAATGTCGCAAAAAAAGATGAAAGCGACATGTGTAATGGAAACGGCAGATATAGGACACACTTTCTAAAGATGGACAACATGTTTATCTGTTCGACAGGGGTGGATTTTTATTTTGTTGAACTTTCTTTATTGCGACAGATTATGATGTAAATGATGTTTTTCGAATAAATTATGATTCCCAAATCATTTTGAAGGTACGCTGGGGCACATGATGTCACCGCTTACAAGTCTTTTTGCTATATCATCCACTAATACAGGACTATTAAAGGCCCAGTGCACTACTTTTGTAAGAATTTTTATGTTTTCATTTGATTAATATTTATTTTTTATTCTGATTTTTCAGGGGGTGTTGCAGCACCCTCAGCCCCCATACATCTTGCGGCTATGTATACCTGAGACATGAAACAGATAGGTGGGAGAGCATACAGGCTGGCCAATTTATTCATGTACAATTTGCCTAAATGGGTAATGTAAACACTTCAACCACTACATTTTTATTGGACACTGTTGGTTTTTACAGCTGTTTTTATCGACACAAGATAGTTAAATGGAAACGCACCCTAGCAAGCAATCATCACATCTATTTTCTATCCGAACTTTCTAAATGTCCACAGAAAAATAACTGAACAAGTTAATGGAAACATAGCTTTTGTTTACGAAACATGTGACAAATACAATTGTATTTTATTTTATTTGATGTCAGCTTAACTGGAGAGTAGTTGGAGTTATGATATTACCATGGTGTTATAATTGAGAGCAATGTTTGCCATCGGCCGGTAGAGAGAGAGATAGAGAGAGATAGAGAGAGAGAGAGAGAGCCCTTAAATTGAATTGAATTGAATTGACAGAGAGAGAGAGAGAGAGAGAGAGAGAGAGAGAGAGAGAGAGAGAGAGAGAGAGAGAGAGAGAGAGAGAGAGAGAGAGAGAGAGAGAGAGAGAGAGAGAGAAAAGCGTGTTTACATAGATGGCAAAACGCCTGGGGAATCGTAGGGAAGAGGAAGCCAGCCGGGTCTCTGTCTGCCTGCTCCAACTTCCTGCTCAGAAAAAGAAGCCAGGATCCTATTTCAGTCCAGCAGAGCTGTGTAGCCTAGCTAGACGGCAGTCAGTCAGCATGGAAAAACAAGGGGTCATACCAATTTCATCATAAACGTTTTCAAGGAGAGGAAGGAACGGCAAACGAGATCGCAGGTAATGTGAAAACAAGTTAATGTGTTTATTGTTAGGTTATTATGGTTTTTCATTGTTTCTTTGATAGTGAAAAGGCAACATGGATTTTGAATGTGAGTGGATGAATTAGGTCAACTGATCTCTATTATTGTAGATTATATATTTTGTATGAGTAGGCTACAGAATGACAGGTTGTTTTGTTTCTAATCTATACCAAAGTTCAACACACATTTAAATTTTAAAATTTTAGTCATTTAGCAGACGCTCTTATCCAGAGCGACTTACAGTTAGAGTGCATACATTTTTTTTTATCAGAAAAAAAACGTTGTAAACAATGTCACTAAATCTATATGTATTGTTGCTGTTTATTCATATGGTTTACTGTAAACTCAGTGTAACAGAGGAATAGAATAGGATCCGCAGCAAGAGAGTTTCTAGTTTGTCTGGTCAGTAGTAGCCTACGCAACATTTCTACGAGCTTCCGGTTTGAATCTGTCTGGTAGTGAACGTCAGTGGGGCAGAAAAACTAATGGACAGTCGTGGAAAGTTTGCCTATTTCAACTCCGTATAATCTATCTCCCTTGTGAATGATGTTTTAGTCATACTATTCTATTCTAAAGTAAGAGAACGAGACAGACTGTTAGATAAATAGATAATCAAAAAGAAGCGCTACCTAGATTCAACTCAAAAGACAGTTTGGGCTTTCTGAAAGCTGGCCGTATGTAAAGATTATGGGGCTCACTCGCGATGGGTGGTTGGATTTTCCAGCGAGCGACGGGCTGTGAATTTGAACAGGAAGAGAGCAGATTTAGTCATGGTTAAGTTGTCTCCACACACAGCACCTAATCACATTAGGCGTTTCCGTTCCCCAAAACACTGGATGGCTTTGTGTGAACTCTTACTAACCAGGAAGATCATGGTTCATATTACAAGGTGACAAATGTTTTCGCACAAAACTGTGTTTTAATGATTGCTGAGGTGACGTGGAAAGTTGAACTTAATTAACACTGAACATAGAATGCCCTATCAAAACAGTAATGTGTTTTGTCTCAGTATATGTCCAAGGGGTGGAGTGTGAGAGGGACATTTTGACTTGATCTCATGACCCAGGCAGGCAGTGAGTCGTAAGTGGAACAGGATTGGGGAAATGCGCCCTGTAGTGTGGGATCCCCCTCTCCCTACCAATGTGTCATTGAGAGTAGAATAGGAGGAAGTCCTGACTTTGACAGTTTTGTGGTTTCACATGACAGATGGAAAACTCTAGGGATACTTTGTGCCAGAAATGTGTTCTGACAATGTGTGTGTATGTTTGTACGTGTGTGTGTACTATGTACGCGTGTGTCCGTACGTATGTGTGTGTGTACGTGTGTATGTATTACGTACGTGTATGTGTGCGTGTGTGATATATGTATGTATGTTTGATAAGGCATTCACTGATCAGGGTCAATAACTTTTCACTTTCCTCATTGAGTTTGTCTGTGTCTCATATTAAACCAGAGCCAGAGAACAGTTTCCAAGGTTATTCCCTATGAAGTGCACTACTTTAGACAAGACTAGTCAGCCTGTGTGCTAGTGTGTAGACTGTGATCTACCAGGCAAGACAGGAGCTCATAGGACTTCACATTCCTCCATTAAACGACAAAACCCACCCTCGCTCTCTCACTCGGGCCAGTCGTACTTCCTGTAGCCTCAGCCAGGTTGGACCGCAGCATACTTCTGGCTTGAGCTGTTGTTCCTACTTTTATATTTCCCTCTGTCCTCTGTTACTTTACACTACACATGCTCGTCTGCACTGTTCTAGTCCACACTAGGACTTGTCTTTACACTACAAATATTGTCGTTAAACATCACAGTGTAGGCTACTACAGTGTCATACTGGGTATACAATACAATACATTTTGATTGATCCATTACAGAAACATTGTCTATTGTATGTCGACACCATACAACACAGGCATGAGGCTGGGAACAGCACAGGGTCACCCTCCGGTGGCTGGCCTGTTCTCCATCCTCTAGGCTACCGCCTGCCCATGGACAGTACCATAACCCTGGTTCAGTGGTGGAAAAAGTACCCCATTTTAAAAGTAAAGATACCTTAATAGAAAATAACTCAAGTAAAAGTGAAAGTCACCCAGTAAAATACTACTTGAGTAAAAGTAAAAAAAAGTAATTGGTTTTAAATATACCTAAGTATCAAAAGTCAATGTAATTGCTCAAATATAACATTATAAATCATTTCAAATTCCTTATATTAAGCAAACCAGATGGCACGATTTTCTTGTTTATTTTAATTTACGGTTAGCCAGCGGCACATTCCAACACTCAGACATCATCTATAAACGAAGCATTTGTGTTTAGTGAGTCCGTAGCGATGACCAGGGATGTTCTCTTGATAAGTGTGTGAATATGACAATTTTCCTGTCCTGCTAATCATTCAAAATGTAACGAGTACTTCTGGGTGTCAGGGCAAATGTATGGAGTAAAAAGTATGTTATGTTCTTTAGGAATCTAGTGAAGTAAAAGTATTCAAAAATATAAAATAGTAAAGTAAAGTAAAGATAAAAAAAAAAAACTACTTAAGTAGTACTTTAAAGTATTTTTACTTAAGTACTTTACACCACTGCCCTGGTTCCATGTTGATGCCATCAATGGGTTATGTCCCTCTAGGTATGGACAGTGCCATCACGTTGTGGCAGTTCCTGTTGCAACTGTTGTTGGACCAGAGTCATAAGCATCTGATCTGCTGGACGTCCACTGACGGGGAGTTCAAACTGCTCAAGTCTGAGGAGGTGGCCAAGCTATGGGGGCTCCGCAAGAACAAGACTAATATGAACTACGACAAGCTGAGCAGAGCTCTGAGATACTACTATGACAAGGTATTACATTTACACTACACAGACAGTACACTACCACTACTCACACACTGACTACAGCAAGACTACACAGACAGTACACTACACATAAAGAACAAGACTAATATGAACTACGACAAGCTGAGCAGAGCCCTGAGATACTACTATGACAAGGTACAGGCCTTTTGTTTGTTTGACATTTGGTTTGATGTTACCTCTCTCAAAAGGTACAAGCACTCTTGTATTAGAATACTCCCACGCACAATTATCTCTGCACTGTTTATTTGACATTTCGGTCGATGTGATATTTCTCAAATGGTAACTCAAATAGTTTGTTGTTCTTCTTTTTCAACCAAAGATCCCCACTGGCAGATAGTTCCACCTCCTCTTCTTTCACCTAACAAACAGCACCGCCTGTAGAAAATGATGCATCGCACACACACACACACACTGTAGGATTTCAGACATTTTGTAATCATTTCAATCAATTCATTTTTCTATGAATGGAATGTTGACATCGAAATGGCTGGGTCAACATTGATCATTTAGAGTGCTGTTATTCATTGACAATAGAAATTAAAATGTATGTTGTCTCATCTTGTTATCAGCTCATAAATGTGTATTAAAGCTTTTGTTTGTAATTATATGCATGGATAGAATAAAAAGGGAATTCACAAAAAAAACAACATTTTAAGGTTCAACCTGCACACTAATCTCATAATGTGTTCCAGAACATCATCAAGAAGGTGATCGGCCAGAAGTTTGTCTACAAGTTTGTCTCGTTCCCGGAGATCTTAAAGATGGACCCAGCAGCTGTAGAGATGGGCTTGACGTCCGGCCGGGTGACACTCCACGAGAACCAGGACATCCAGGACCTGGACGTAGAGGAGGAGGAGGAGGAGGAGGAGCAGGAGGCGCAGCAGCAGAGGAGGGCCCTGGGGGCAGCGTTGGGGGCGGCTGTGGCGGCCCAGCAGGCTGTGTGTCATAACAACTACCTCCGCTCTGGCCTCTACTCCTCCTTCAGCATCAGCTCCCTCCATCCACCTCCAGAGGAGCTGCTCCGGGCCCTGAGGGAGAGACAGCAGGACTCCCCCCGCTCCGGAGTCATCCGCTTTGGGACGGGTACCACCGACAGGACTCCACCCTCACCGTCCCTCATCAAGCCTGAGCCTTCATCACAATCCTTCAGCACCCACAGGCCATTAAAACCCTCCCCTCTCCACCATCACACCCACCACCAGCGCCACTCTCCGTCCTCCTCCCCCCACAGCCATAACCCCCAGCCAGGGCCAGGCCGAGGAGGCTGGAGCCCAGAGGCTGAAGAGGAGGAGTGGGGGGAGGACTCTGACCAGGGAGCCCAGCCTCTGAACCTCTCTTCTGGGCACAGAGAGAGAGAGCGGGCCCTGCAGCCTCCGGAGAAGAGGACCAGTGGTGGTAGTAGGGTTAGTGGTAGTAGTCATGGAGACAGTTGTCATGGACTCCCACCCAAAACCAAGAAGCCCAAAGCCCTAGAGATCTCCGCCCCCTCCCTGCTCCTGACAGGAAGTGATATCGGCTCGATAGCCCTCAATAGCCCCGCCCTGCCGTCTGGATCCCTCACCCCCGCCTTCTTCACTGCACAGGTATGATGAACTATACTGCTACTTGACATGATACAGCATGCAATGCCAGTGAATACTTAACACTAGCGTCATCTGGCACTTAATAAACCCTATTCACAACATAAAAAGTCGGGTAAACTGAGTTTACATGATGAATTTATCTTCTACTACATCACTGATTTCACTCCATATCATGTTGTTGTTGTTGGGGAAGACTTGCCCCTCACATCTCACTCATGAGTGATGCTAGCTGATCTTCTTTAAGATAGAGAAGAACAGTGTTGCAGTGATTTTTGTGTCCTTCCCATCTGTTCTGAGGCCTGCCTGGCCATGGGGAGATGGAGGCTGGAGTCTATCCAGAGTTCCAGACCATGACATCAGTGTCCCAAAGCCCAGCTAGAGCACCAAGGCACTGCAGTGCCACAGGCCTAGACCGCTCAGCCACATCTGACGCAGTCTGGCAGGGGAAACACTTCTAGATGATATGGGCCCTTCTACAGTACTATGTTAAAATACAGATTTTTCAGCGTGTATTTTAGTTAGTGTTTTCTTTGTCACGTAAAACGGATGGAAAAATAAGGAAAGTTAAAAATCATGAGGCTTCGCTGAACCACATTTTCATCATCAGAAAGAAGACATTGACTTCTCCACAGACAGAGGTACAGCTTATACAGAAACAACAGCTGAAACACTGTTTATAGCGGTGCAAAGTAAGATCAGAGGAAAAACAAGAGATTTACACAAATCCTGTCCTAGTCAGAGAGCGAGAGAGGGGTATGGGGGGGGGGGGGGGGGGTGATGGGGGGGGCTAAGTGATGCCATATGCTCCAATCATTCCATTAATAGTAAAGGAAAAGGCAGGCAGACCAGGCATGCAGGGCCGGGTCCCTCCACAACACTGGCTTACGTCTCCATTTGGAGTTGACAAGGGAGAGAGGGGGGGGAGAGACGGAGGGGGAGATACATTTATTTCATATGATGCTCTCCCTCCCTCACCCCACTACCTCACCCATGTATTGAAAGGAGGAACCAGACTTCCTTCTTGTTTGTGCTGTTCATAATAACACCAAGTTGAGAGTAATGGCCATTTTGTATTTCAGGATGTTTTCACATTGACCTTGTGATTCATACTTTCAAAATGTACTAACCTCAAGTGAAGAGTTTTTATTTCAGTGGTCATTGCAGTTATTATCACTGATACAAAACTGACATACTCTTTACTCCCCCCCCCCCTCCCCCTCCCCCCTCCCTCCCTAGACTCCATCTGGCCTGCTGCTGGCCCATAGCCCTCTGTTATCAGGCATTCACTTCTGGAGCAGCCTGAGTTCCGTAGCTCCTCTGAGCCCGGCCCGGCTTCCAGGACACGGTTCACCGTTTCAGGTAAAAACTGGAGGGAGGGAGGGAGTGAAAGACAGGAGAAGTGCTGAATGGACTGTGTTTTTTTGTTTACTCCTCAAGATGGGTAGTTGAGGAGGGAGTTCAGGGAGGGAGAGAAAGAGGAATGGAGGGAGAGAGAGAGAGGAGGGAGTGAAGGAGAGACAGATCGGGTTAAAGAACAGAGAAGTGCTGAATGGACAGTGTTTTTTTGGTTTGATCGCCGGAGCCTGTTTGTTTCCCCTGAGGATGGAGTTCTTAGAAAGACTGTTGAATTCCACTCAGCTGTAATGATGAGCATAGGGCAGGGGAAGCCCACACTGTTGCTTTCCGTTGACATTTCCCACCTGGCAGAATAATGTATGCTAATGTATGTCAGGTAGAATAAATGTTAGCATTTCTCTCCCGTTCTCCAACCCCCTGACTTGCCCTGGTAATATTGACAAAACTTTTTTCACATCCATCACTATCAATTTGATCTTAAGTACACTTACCTGTAATTCTACATTCTAGGTCATTTTAAGATGTTCTATAAAATGGGGCACTTAGTGCGTGTATGAATTGGACACCAAGATGACAAGTCTTTGTTACTGAGTGACTGTGACTGCAATAACAGACACCGACCTGACATTAGGAGAAGCTCTTTCGTCTCCAAGTCAGTATACCTCCAGTTTCAGCGTTAGCATAGGCAGAGAGGGAGAGGATATCCTGTGAATACTTCCTGTTTGAGCCCAGGGGAGCCGAGCCAGTCTGAACAGAACAGGCTGGACTGGTTTCTGAGAGGGCTGATCCTGGGCAGGCATCCCAAATGGCACCCTATTCCATATATTAGTGCACTACCTTTGACCAGAACCTTATGGGCCCTGGTCAAAAGTAGTGTGTTATGTAGGGAATAGGGTGCAAATTGGGACGCAGACCTGCTCCTCATTTGTGCAGCTATCTAGCCCTTCTCCTCCCCTCCCAGCATCACACACACACACACACACACACACACACAGCTAAGCAGCCTCTTTGTGTACAATGCATAGTTCACTCACTTCACCCTCTATAGAACCTGTTGTGGTGGTAGAAACACTCAGGAGGGAGAGAGGGAAGAGGCACAGTGCATAGAACAGGAAACCAGGATTACAGTTCCTGTGGTGATAGGGGCAGACCTGGGGTGTATTCATTAGTCAGATTCTGTTGCAAAAATGTTTTGGCAGTTGCAAAACATTTTGCAATGGGAACTGTTTCCTCCAAACTGAAAACGTTTTTTTCAACGAAAACAACAGTTTCTATTGGACAACCTCAGGTAGGTCCCTCCCCATTTGCTTCCTAAAGTAAAGGCTAAATGGTGTCCGTTGCAAAACGTTTTGCAACAGACAAAACGTTTTACAACGGAATCCGACTAATGAATACACCCCTACGCCAAGGCTTCTGTGAAGTGGAAACATCGTGAATTTGTTGCAAGGATTGAAACACCATGGGGCAGCATTATATACAGCGTGCAGGACTCTTCTTTCTTCATTCACTGTTATGTTTGCCCAGCACTAGTTTTAGAAAGTTCAGGAGCATTGGCTGAACCTCCACACCTCTCTCTCTCGCTGTCTCTGTCCACAGTTCCCCAGCCTAATGAATGGACACCTCCCCCTGCCAAACCTGGATGGGTCCCCCTCACCCCTGCTCCTGTCCCCTGCCAATCACAAGTCCTGATTCAGGCTCTCAAAACCCAAACCAGCCCGTTGGTTCTACTTCCACCATCTTCATCAAGCATCTCTTCATTAGGACTTCCTATCAACCTTCAAAACCCACCCCACCCCACCTCAATCCATCTCTATAAGTATGATTGTTTTTGTGATTTTCATTACAGAATGTGAGACGTTGTTTTCATTGTATGATATTGAATTGTATTGTAGCACCGGCTGTGCCTTTTGAAAATGCAAGACTATTGCCATGTTCCCCCCCCCTCCCAAAACAAAAAACCAAAATCCATGAAGACGAGATTCCAAAATCAATGAAAAAGCTTTGTAACACTTTGTAATGTTGTTTGTTTTATACTGGAGCTGACCTATACAGTATATATTCTGTATAATGTTATATTGGTGAAAAGTCTTGTTTTGAATAAAACTGAAGCATTAAATGCTGTAACGCTGCCTTCTGGTCTTCATAAAATATACAGTAGAGGTCTGAAGCACGTAATTTATCGTGTGTGTGTGTGTGTGTGTGTGTGTGTGTACACACACTAGAGGAAGAGAGGGAACAGTAGCCTAGCAACAGACCATACATTTACATATCATTCATCTTCAGTTTAATTTTCTTTCTCTAAAAAATCTGAAATATGAGGAGGGTATCCCCTACGTCATACCACACTAATAATAACAATTATCCACAAATAAAGTTAAAGTAATAATATCATACAAAATATCTGGTATGTAACACTGTTAAATAGACTCACTACTGTGTTCACTAGGAGAGCTGGACCATTGTTTTTTCGAAGTGTCTCAGAGCAGGAGTGCTGATCTGGGATCATGCCCACCCATTCCATGTCATCTCATTTAATATTATCTGAAAGGCCAAAATTGATCCAGATCAGCACTGCTACTCTTGATACAGCATCATAAAGCACCTCAGAGCAGGAGTGCTGATCTGGGATCATGCCCACCCATTCCATGTAATCTTATTCATAGTCGCTCCTCGCAGCTGCTTGAGCGCGCAGAGCGGCGCCCCCAGAGGCTTATTCATTATGATCTGGAAGGCACAACTGATCCCAGATCAGCATTTCTACTCTTGAGATGCTTCATGAATTTGGGCCTTGAATAGATTAGGAAGGGTGCGTTCTGAAATGGCACCCTATTCCCTACATAGTGTACAACTTTTGACCGGAACCCCATAGACTGGTCTAAAGTAGTTTTCTGGGTCGTTCCTGGGTCTTTTGTGTCCCTTTGATATTTTAAGTAGAAGTTGTGCACCAATATTGAATTTTAAATGCCTGTTAAATTAAATGAAATTACCTTTAATATAGACCACATGGAAAAATCAATAAATCCTTTTTTTTTTTTTTTACAGGAATAAAGACTTGCTAGAGTGCCAAAATGTCCCTCTGTGCATCCTCTGTGACTTCTTGTTAGATTTAAACCCACTTACCCCAACATTTCTCAAAGTTTTCACCATCATTTTAAAGCCCTAGTTATTTTGTTGCTTTGACAGTCATTTCTGAAGATTATTATTTATTTCATGTGATTAGTGATTCATTTTAAGGTAAAAAAAATAAAATAAACGACCTGTCACTCATTTAAGGTCAACCCTGTTACATGCACTGAACTCCATTTTCTGGTGGAAAACTAAGCGGGGTCGAGCGTAACACGTCAACCCTGTTGTTACCCATAGATAAACATTTCTAGCCTGTCTTAACAATTAAATATTTTTTTGTGAAGCTTGCATTCAATTGCCCCCTGTTGCACACCACAAGCTTCCATTCCCCCTGTCACAAGGGGTTTAAGGCTGATTTAAGATGAAATCATCAACCCTGTTAAGGTCAACCCTGTTACTTTATTTGGCACTTAATAGGCAATTACTAAAGTATTTTTTGAGATAGGGTTAAACATTTTATTAAGTTGAACATGTGCTCTTCATTACAGGATGTAAAAATTAGGTGAAATAAAATGTTTTTTTTAAATAAGTTACACTACCCAAAAGGGACTCATTTCCTGGAATGATATATAAGGAATAGGGTGCCATTACAGATGCAACCGGGGAGTTCAGTAACTGTATGTGTGCTTCTTTACCCACACAGAGCAAGCAACCAACACAATAATGATAAAAGCAATCCAAAACAAGGAACCATTTTACAGTTGGTTGTTTGAAGGAAGGATGGGAATGAACGGCAGAATAGAAACATAACTGTTGGTAATTCACACTTCTTCAGTCTATTTGGCCTGGTTTGACAGTGAGATTTTACCTCCGTTCACATACCCTTCACAACAGACACAGGAAGCTTGGTGCAATAGAGAGGACCAGAAAAGAGGAAACTGTCATCATGTGGTGGTAGTGGCCATGTTCCAGGTTGCCTGCATTGCAGTCCTGTTGCACAGATAATCAGATTGTTACATTTACATTTTACTCATTTAGCAGACGCTCTTATCCAGAGCGACTTACAGGAGCAATTAGGGTTAAGTGCCTTGCTCAAGGGCACATCGACAGATTTGTCACCTAGTCGGCTCGGGGATTAGAACCAGCGACCTTTTGTTTACTGGCACAACGCTCTAAACCACTAAGCTACCTGCTAGATTTACTGCAATTACATTTAAAAAAAGACTACTTCCTCATTTGTAGAAGATCTATGACCAATTCGATCTGTATCACATCTCTGCAAATGAGAAAGTAGCATTTAATATTGCAGGAACCCCCATCAATATGACTTAGTAATCTAATAACCTGAGCAACTCATCTGCAATGTAGGTGACCTGGAACATGGCCAATGCCTCTTGGTGTTCTGAAGAATAAAAATAAGTCCGATTTTTTGACATCTTCCTGTAATGCCCATATCATAAATTCTACATAGCGAAGTCTTTGTCTTACTGATTTTGTTCATTCATTGGTCATGAGTCATGACAAGAGACCACAGCATGCTGGAATGATCCGGAATCATCCAGACGGTCCCAATTGTTTCCCCATCGTCTTCCCTCTGGATCTAACCAGTAGGTGTTTGTAAATCTTGGTTGGGCGCAATAGGGTAGAAGCTCTCCTACTACATTACATATACCTACTAACAACTATGCGAACCATTTTCACCAAGCCGATCACTGCTCTCATATCTTCTATCAAAATGGAGGTACAGTCTTTCAGGTTGGCAGCAGGTGGATATGGGATATGGTCACCATAGAGATATAACAATCTCTATGATAGTCACCATCCACCAGGGCTGTACTGGCCTCTACAGTATCTTGTGATATGAATTGAATGGTCCAGAAATATGGAGGTTGGTGTTTGAATACAGCACCACGCACGGCAACAGAAAAGAGAAAATCCCAAAACGTCAGACTCTGCTACAGCAAAGATCTATCTGTCTGTCACACAGTGTGTTGTGGTGGAAAGTAACGGAAATGAATGGACAAAACCACAAAAGAAAATTAAAATGTCACCACTTCCAAATAATAAAACATCTATACACATTGCATGTTTTCTTTTAAAGTGACTGAGCCAGTTAGAATCTTCTAGACAGTAGTTGGATTTGTAGCAGCAAATTCTCTCTTATCCCCAATAAATATAAATGTATAAACGTCTCTATTTTTTGCCAGTTTCACATTAGCCCGGGCCCCCATGGGCCAAACCGTACTGTAGATGGGGGCCCCTGGCAGAAAGGGGGGACACACAGAGGGCTGAGGGGTTGTCCTCCTACCCCCCCGTGGCCCCTTGTAGACAACCATCTCAGGGACTGAAACACCTCTGTCTGTATAACTGTTCATGTAGGTAGGACATCCTCCTCTGTTGAACACACCACCGTTCAGTTTCTAGAAGAGCATGCTTTGCCTTCTGTTCTTGCCGTTGCCTGAGGGTAGCAAAAAACAATTGAAAAGTAGAAATTAATCATTACAAAAGACTACTATTGTGTTATGCTAAACCAGTATCGTTGTACAGTGCTAAGTCAACTGACTAGTATGTTAATAAAGTAGGTAAATGGAGACTATTTAGAGGCCCTATAAAATACCTTTTCAGGGGCCGGTGTGTTTTTGAGTGTTAGTTTGAGGTTTTAGTTAAACCTCACCTTTTTATCCCCCTGAGGGACTCCACTAACCTGGCTCAGGATAGTTAGAGTTCCTATAACCTGGATCTCTCTGCAGCTGAACCTCCTTCAGTGTAAATATGGATATGCCTGTAATGCACACACACACACACAACACAACACAACACACACCACACACACACACACACACACACACACGGGTCAGAAATAGAGAAAGTTCAAAAGTGAAAGAAAGATAAGAAACACACCACCCAGAACACTTAGATTTCCATATCCAGAACACTTAGATTTCCATATCCAGAACACTTAGATTTCCATATCCAGAACACTTAGATTTCCATATCCAGAACACTTAGATTTCCATATCCAGAACACTTAGATTTCCATATCCAGAACACTTAGATTTCCATATCCAGAACACTTAGATTTCCATATCCAGAACACTTAGATTTCCATACCCAGAACACTTAGATTTCCATACCCAGAACACTTAGCTTTCCATATCCAGAACACTTAGATTTCCATATCCAGAACACTTAGATTTCCATACCGAACACTTAGATTTCCATACCCAGAACACTTAGATTTCCATACCCAGAACACTTAGATTTCCATACCCAGAACACTTAGATTTCCATACCCAGAACACATAGATTTCCATACCCAGAACACTTAGATTTCCATATCCAGAACACTTAGATTTCCATACCCAGAACACTTAGATTTCCATACCCAGAACACTTAGATTTCCATACCCAGAACACTTAGATTTCCATATCCAGAACACTTAGATTTCCATACCCAGAACACTTAGATTTCCATATCCAGAACACTTAGAGCTCTCTCTTTGTATCTGTGTGTGTATCACTCACTCTCTGGCAGTGTGTGTGCGCTTGTCCCCAGGCTCCTGAAGTAGGGCTGTCTCATCGACTCATCTGCAGACATCCTCTTCTTGGACTCGTACTGAGAAAGCAACGACAGATAAACAGTTTGTGTGTGTTTGTGTGTGCGTGCGTGTTCTTGGACAGGGAAGCCATGAAAGAGAAACATCAACTCTGCAAATCAATTCCTGCCTCCAGGAAGCTAAATAACTAAGCTATATTAAATATGCCACAATACAACTCCAGGAAGCTAGATAAATACATTATATTAGTTCTGCAGCACTGTACTATACACGTCTTCCTTCTGGTGAAGTTATTATGGGTGTGTTAAAGCCATATGTGCATAAGGTTTTCCTTTTCAATTCTCTCAGTTTTGTCCAAGTACACTGTCCCAATGTAACAACAACATGTTGCCATTTTTCAGATACAGGTGTTGGAACAGTGGTGCAACGCATAAGGGGATTGTTTATTCAATGAGTTAATGTGTTTGTATCTGTAGTGGGACTCACTTTGAGAAATGACAGCAGCAGTTCAATGCCATCAATATCCAACCTGAGAGAAAAAAGGAGCACACACCGAGAGAGAGAGCAGAAGAGACAGAGAGAGAGAGAGAGAGAGAGAGATCATAGAGAGAGTCGAGAGGATAGAAGGAAAGTAGGAGAGCGGAGGGAAGGAAGGAGATAGAGAAGAGGGAAAAAGAGAGAGAGGGAGAGAGCGAGGGAAAGGAGAGAGAGAAAGGGAAGAGAGAGAGAGAGAGACCAGCCGAGACAGCAGCGAGAGAGAAACAGCGAAGAAGGACTCTAACAGAGATAGAGCGAAAGATCATAGGCTAGACTAGACTCGGTAATTGGGAAGAGAGGAAGAGAGAGGCTCTCTCTCTCTCTGTTTAGATGAATGGGAGTGACTCATGGTGGTGTAGTGAACTCTAGGAAAGAAGCAGAGTAAACTATTCCACAGGATTTCCTCCGCAGGAAGGGAGGCGTGCGCACACACACACACACACACACACACTCTTAGAAAACACAGCACAAAAGCACAGCACACACATTTAGAAAACTTTTATTTTACGAAACCCTTTTTGAAAGCAGAAAAGCCAGTAATACCACTTCAGTAAAAGGAAGCACCCAGGGATTCCACATGTTCATTTACCTTGACACTAGCTGATAAGGGACATGTTGCCGTGTGGGAATCTGTAAGTCTCTTCGGAAAAGGCGTCTGCTAAATGACCATGTCTCAAATCAAAGTTCGTCAGATGTTTTCAGACCACTACAGTAGTCTACTGGTGTCCTACTCTTGGAGGTCTGAAAACATCTGACTAACTTTTAATTATAAGTAAATGTCCCTTTAAATGTGATGTCACCACTCCAACAGGTCCAAGCCCAGGCATGCAGCCCTTACATACCTGGGAGCATGGTTGATGAGGGGCTGTGTCTTGTACTTGGGAAACTTGTAGGACTTGAACTCCTCCATGGAGGAGATGCCAGGCCAGCTGTCCTCTGAGGGTGTGCCTGTTGGAAGGGAGGGGGGGAAGAGTGAATTCACAGGAGCATTAGCATTAGCATTAGCATTAGCATAGCAGCTGACTGCCTACAAAGATGTAGATTAAATTAAAAGTAAACTTCGATTAACTTTACTTTTTCCAGAGGGAATTTTATGCGTGGTGCCGTGGCATATACAAGCAAATTCAAATGACACACACACAATTAAAACACACAAAACACAATTAAAACACACAAAACAGTGCACAACATTCAATTACATTACAGAGAGCAAATAGATGTAATATCACCATGTTGTGTTGTTTTCCGCCACTAGGTGGCAGCACTCACCCAGCAGTCTGAAGATGAGGTGCAGTTCGTCCTCCACAGTAGAGCCAGGGAACAGAGGCCTCCCGGCAGCCATCTCATAGAATATACAGCCTACACCCCTGGGGTTGAAAAGATTAGGTTAGGGGTCAAATAGAGTCAATACATGTCTTTATGGGGGGAGTCTATCCGCATCTTTCCACTTAACTTTTCCTGCCCTCCACTGTAAATTAGATGCATGGCTATTCTCATTATTCAAGGAAACATAAAGACCGCCAGAGTGTGGTAGATACAGAGATCGATTTAGGGGTCAGGATGGCTTTCAGTTTTGCATATATAATTCAGATTAGATGATCATGGCTCCTGATAACCCATGCTCAAGAAATGCTCATGGTTCTACTTTGGTTCTCTCATGGTCCTACGTTGGTTCTCTCATGGTTCTACATCACCTCAGCCCACTCACCACATGTCTATCTGTGTGGAGTACTCTGAGGATCCCAGTAGGACATCAGGAGGTCGGTACCAGAGCGTCACCACCTCGTTGGAGTATGTCTTAGTGGGAACTGACTTGGCCCGGGCCAGACCTGGAACAAAATAACAATGTGTTACACAATAGAACATTACTGTCTTTACTGAATAGACCGGCTCAATGTCAGCAATCATGCCGAACTGAGCCAAGCTGTCCTGTACTGCGCTGGCCTGGTTCCGCCTCCACCATAGTTGCTGGAACCAGACCATGTGAAAAGTAAATATCGGAGCCAGCTCAGTGTGGTTCAGGTCGGAACGATCGTGTGAAGAGGGTATTTGAGGAACAACCAGGGTTATCAACCCCCAGAACCCAGGGCAGAATGAGAACATGTCTCTTACCGAAGTCAGCCAGTTTGAGTTCTCCTCGTTCGTTGATGAGCAGGTTCTGAGGCTTCAGATCTCTGTGTAGAACCTTCCGTTTGTGACAGTAGGCCAGACCTCGCAGGATCTGGAACAAGAAGATCTGAGACAAAACAACAAAGATGTCAGACCTCTTCTGGTAGTCAGGACACTTCTGTGGAAATATAATCATATAGTATAATCAGCTAAATAATAATTATCTTAAGCTACTGTGTGTGAGTAGGAATAAAGGCTTATTAGTTTCCCTAATATCTCATTAGATTAGAATAACTATTTTTCCAGAGAGAACTTCATTTGTGGTGTGAAGCCAAAATCACATGGAGACACCCGTCAACGGCGTGAAATTCGCGTGTGAGAGTAGTGAGCGTCAATTCACATACACTGCGCAGCGTATGCCAACATAATTGGGATGAAAATCCCTAATAAACAGTTGTATCTGTTCGCTTTTCAGCCCCTGGGAGGTATTGTTGGGAGTTCCTTTTGACCTTAGATTCTCCTAAGGGAGCCACCGTACCTGGACTAAACAGTTGTTGATTTGCTAGCTTATGAGGATGTTGTTTCTAATAAACCCGAGCCATTTATAAACAACCACATCTCGTTCTTTCTACATAAAACAGTATTCTCTCTTGAAATCAGAGTCCTCCAGTTTTCCAGCCGTAGCCTGCCTAGACTATATGATGGAAATCAACACCAGTAGGTTGCAATTGTTTTCAAATATATAGCCTATTTGACGGATTAGTTTACAGCCCAATATATTTTAAACTTATCCGCTTACTTTACCAGCATTGCTCCGTGTAGAAGCGACAACAATAGACTTTCTAATTTGACATGCTATGACGCCGTAGATGCTCGCGGCCCATCTGTTTTCTCTCATTCACTCATATAATGCTTGTTCACGCGCTTAAAATTACGCTTTCGTTTTAATTGAGCCCGATACGTTCAAATTATTGAGTTGATATTCCACTAGTCACCAGCAGGGGGCAGATGTTTTCTACCACAGGAGGAGCCTTGCTTCTCTATAGAGATACGGAGGCCTGGCAGGCAGCTTGTAGACACTCCACTCACCTTGACGTTCTGCATGCTCAGGATGTTCCCACAGTCGTCCATGTACTGCTTTAGGTCCTTGTCCTACAGGTGAGTGGAGAGGAAGGGGCAGACATTCAGTCAAAACTGGAAGGGGCAGACATTCAGTCAAAACTGGAAGGGTCAGACATTCAGTAAAAACTGGAAGGGGCAGACATTCAGTCAAAACTGGAAGAGGCAGACATTCAGTCAAAACAGGAAGGGGCAGACATTCAGTCAAAACTGGAAGGGGAAGACATTCAGTCAAAACTGGAAGAGGCAGACATTCAGTCAAAACAGGAAGGGGCAGACATTCAGTCAAAACAGGAAGGGGCAGACATTCAGTCAAAACTGGAAGGGGAAGACATTCAGTCAAAACTGGAAGAGGCAGACATTCAGTCAAAACAGGAAGGGGCAGACATTCAGTCAATACTGGAAGGGGCAGACATTCAGTCAATACTGGAAGGGCAGACATTCAGTCACGAAGGGGCAGACATTCAGTCAAAACTGGAAGGGGCAGACATTCAGTCAATACTGGAAGGGGCAGACATTCAGTCAAAACTGGAAGGGGCAGACATTCAGTCAAAACTGGAAGGGGCAGACATTCAGTCAAACTGGAAGGGGCAGACATTCATTCAAACAGGAAGGGGCACAGAATACGGCAGCAATACAAAACACCACAACACAGCATCCACTAGATAGAACCTGCAATTTGTTTTTTATATGGACTTAAAAATACTTTAAGAATGAACCAACAGTACAGAAAAAAATAAGATACAATTGTATTTTTGTCAAACTACCCCTTTAATTTCACATTCTATTATCTAGTCTTTCCACCATAGGCTATAAGTTGTAACAGAAGGGAATGTTTTTGTGTCTCTCACCAGGTACTCAAAGACTAGCGTCAGGGACTTGTCTGTGTGGATGATGTCGTGCAGCGTCACTATGTTGGCGTGTTTCAGGTCCTTCAGTAAGGACACCTCTCTGATGGCGGTGCAGGGTGCTCCCTCCTCATGCTCCAGTCTGATCTCCTTCAGAGCCACCAGGTTGTCTGTCAGTTTACTCCTTCCTTTAAACACTGTAGCATACGTTCCCTGGAGGGAGAGAGGGGGGAGGGATGAGAGAGGGGGGATGAGAGAGAGGTTGTCTGTCAGTTTACTCCTTCCCTTAAATACCGAAGCATGTCTCCTGGAGGGAGAGAGGGATGAGATGATGTTTCTACATGTTTGCTTTGGCATTGTTTGTGGTTACATTCTCCATGCCAATAAAGTATTCTGAATTGAATTGAAATGAATTGAGAATCAAATAAAAATAGAGAGAGAGAGAGGGATAGAGAGAGAGAGAGAAGAGAGAGG